TCCTAAATACAAGGAGATGATTTACTTGGAACAGAATAGTTGATTCTTCATTCCAGCACTTTAAGGATGCATAAAAATCGTTACCTGTACAAGCAGGAAGAGTATTCTGCTGTTTGTTTCTTTGTGGTACAATAGCGCCTGGCATTAACAGCTGTGATACTGAACTATAAAGGAATTGGCTGCAGTGAGTATGACTTATCAGCAATTCTGTCATAATAAACTGGTTTTATTCCTCTGTAAGCAAAGCTGAAAGGGAAGAAACAGTAAAACATATCAATTTTCAAAGGGCTTTTACTGGTGACTCTGTTCTCACCAGCAAATTGCAGCAGCAAGGCCTAAAAAAGTGTATCTTAAAACATCTGTAAGAGAGTAGATGAAGAATTAATTGAAAAGGTTGGGCAGAAGGAAGCAGTGGCTCATTGCTAGGCTAGGAAGAGGTTTGTTCTGCAGGAGTGTTTCCTGGGTCTGGTCTGTTCATGTTCCTATTTATGTTGCAGCTGATGGAAGATACTGGGAATAACAGATCTGTGAACAGTATGAAAATGGGGAGGATGCTGTAATGGAGTGAGCTGGTGAAGGGCTACAATGTTTTGCCCAAGGAAGTTAAAAGGATTCCTTCATTATACACCTTTAATGAAAGATTAATCTGTTATCTGTCATTAGTAGCCCAGTAAATCCTCCTAAGGATAAGGCTGTTTTTGAGTGATCCTCAATATTCTGTAGTGTGCTGGGAACGACACCAAGCATGGGAGAGGAATCGGAACAAATGTACCAGCTTTGGAAGACATAGTTGGAATCACGGAAAGCTGTCATGGTTCCTTAGTTAGTGTGTATAGAAGACACCCTGAACGCTTTGTATTCATGCTTGTGAACATTGAGAAGGACTCGCAGCAAGTGCTTTGGAATGTGCAGTGATTTCTATGCAAATCGTGCCACTGGAGACAGCAGAGCAGAGCAGACCTTTGTGGGTCTGCCTGGTTGCTGCAGGAGGTACAGGTTTCAAAGGTGTACAGTACCCACACAATGTCCACAGTGTGCAGGGTAGGACTTCAGAGTTTAGGTAACAAGCTCTTCACGAGTGTGTGTGACAGCACCTCTGCAGCCTCTGTCACCTTCACGGTTTTGGATTTCCAAAGGCGGTTGTTTCACAGGTCAGCCTGTGCCTTTGGTACTTTTTCCTGATGCTATTTTCTTCAATGAACTTCATCCCATTACTTAGTGTAGTTCAAAGGTTACTTAAAGTAAGTTATTTCCATCCTTGATGTTAACAGAACAGTGAAGAATGATTACAAGTTTTGTGCCTTCCTTAGTTTTCACATGCTAGTTAAAAAAGGAATCTGCAACTCTGTGTATCCCAGAAGTTCCATTTGTTGTGGTTTAGCAGCATCACATTTTTGTATGTAATAGCAACAGTGGAAACAATTAAATTGATCAATGGCTAGTATTGTGTATTAGGGGTAGCTAAAACAATTGTAGAGGAGACAGTTCTCTTTGACTCTGGAGAAATGGTAAGATGCCAGATTGTAGCAGTTAATTGGGGTTCAACTGCAGAGATAACATATTTAAAATGCTTAATGCTTAAAGAACTACCTATAGTGACACACACCATATTGTTTACTTTTTATTCTTTTCCACTGTTTGCTTCCACTTTTGTTTCCCAGCTGAAGCAAGACAAGCAGGGCTGTCTGCTGTGTCGGTGCAGGTTACTGGAACAGCCTTTTGCAGATGCTACAGAAGGATTTCACCATGTGTCAGTTGGTGCCCAACAGATATAGATGCAGAAGCAGCATCCAGCAGGTGCACGGTGTGGTGTGACATGGTGAAAAAGCACAAATCCCTTGCAATCAGAAACCCCCTTCAGAACTTCACAAAGTTGGTAAGTTCGTACGAGACCAGCTCCTGTCTGGACAGGGAACCACTGCCTGCTGTTTGGGATTTTTCATGCTCACGTTCTTGAAAGCAGTGCTCAGTGAAGCTGGTGGCTTTGGTCTTAAAACACCATTTAATGATTTGGAACCACTGTCATAACCTCCTCCAGGCTTCATGAGGGTAAGTTCTCTGAAACCTAAAGCTTTATGGATGATGCTGAAGAAAAGCCAAATTCCTACTACTTCTGCAAATGTTTGTGGTTACAATTTATGTATCTTACAGCAGGATGACCGCAACCCCTGAGTAAGAGCAGAGTCCTGGTGCTAATGCATGTACAACTATGTGAAAGACATGAAATAGTTTCCTTCTGCTTTGGTGTGTTATCACCAAAGCAGTTCAGTATCATAAAAAGACTTGTTTCCCTTTGGTAGAGATGTGCAGATTCATTTTGAATGCGTAGGAGTTGCTTTAGTTGGCTTTTGTACTGGGAAAAAAAAATATTACATTATAGATTTTCCAGCACTGGTGTCTGACTCACCAATGATGATGTTATATATGGTGTATAAATGTTTTCATTGGCAGTGCATCTTTATGGAGTGAATTGGTAATGAGAAATTAATACCAGAGAACATTGTCTGTCCATTCCAGGAGGATGGATCTTGTACTTGCATGGTAGCATGCATTTGGTATTAAGAAACAAAAAGTTTTCCATTTTCTGTGTTCTAACTTAATTCTAGCCTAACCCATTTAAAACTTGTTTTTCCCTTCTGGTTTCAGATGGAACCAAAGTAGATGAGGCTCTCACTGACATGGTTTAGTGGTGATCTTGGCAGTCCTGGAGTAATGGTTGGACCTCTTGATCTTAAAGGTCTTTTCCAACCTAGTTGATTCTATGAGTCTAGTCTGTAATTTGTTTTAGTTACCTGACTTGAATCAGGGCTCCTTCTGCTGGGTAAATCCTATGGCAATATATAGGAAAAATCATATTCCAAGTATTTTCACTTTGTGACATAAAAGTCTGTAGGAACAGTTAAGGTTAGCCTGTCTGTCATCATTGTGATGGTTACATTGCATCTTCCTGTGGTTCATGGTAGGTTTATTTGCCTCATCCAAATTGTATAAAGCGTAACAGAGCAGCTGTGTCTCGGCCATTAACCCAAGGAACCAACTGAACCGACTCTTCCACTGGACAACTCTTCCGTAACCTCCACTGTCAAATAGCCCGTCCCTGCATCTGATTTGAGCTGCAGTGGTGAGCTATGGAAGTGCTCAGTGCTGCTTCACCATGCTTGGTGCTGGCAGCAGGAGCTGGCACCTTCCTCAGGTGGTGTTTCAAGCAGTTGACTTCAACGTTGTGTGTGTGGATGCTGACAATTAAAAATGCATCTAACTCTTACATTATTATATGTTTTAATATCCTGATTAACTCCCAGTAGTGGTTCCTGGTGGTGTCTGGTTATCAAGTAATGCTGTTAAATCCCCCCCCTGACTGCACCTCCTGGAGTTCCTCAGTTCTCAATATTCTGAAGCTGTAGGCAGTAATAGTGAAAACACCCAAAATGCCTCCAGTCGGGTCGGTTTCTGATGTCTCATTTGGGCTTTTTCCAGTGCTCAAAGAAAATCAGTTTTTAACTGCTGCTTAAGTGTAGAAGTGACGGTGGTCTTCCTTTTAAGATGCTGCTTCCAGTTAGCTTTTGAGACACTGGATTTTTGTTTGATTATTTTAAGTAGTGGTGTTGCCTGTTGGGGAATCGTAACTCTGAAAATTACCAACTTCAGTCATTTCAGTGGGATTATTTGCGGAGGGTGTGTGTGTTGGGTTTTTTTGGTTGTTTTCATCATGTTTAAATGTTGTGTTCTAATAAAAAAGGGTGTTTTTTTTCAGAAGAGCATTTCTGTGTGACGCCTATCTTTTATGTTTTTTTTTCTAGTCCTAAAACTAGTGCAGTAAACATGATTTTCATGTTCTTTTTGGACACAGAAACATCCTAAAAACAAGTGTTTTAATGTAAGATGAAGAACATTCAGAACTTCATCTTTCATCTGAAAGAGACTTAAGGGAAAACCAGTTCTTTGAGAGAGTAAGAGTTTGTTTCCAAACTGTCAGAAGGCATTGGAGAGAAGCGCCTGTCTAATCATTAATGCTGTTTGTAAGACACTTGACAGTCTTGTAAATGTGTTTGCCTTTGTTAATCTGAAACGATTCCTGGATTTCACTGTCCAAGGATGTCAGGTACACGATCTGTACATGTGTATTTGAAATAGCTGTTAACAGCTCTCCTTGGTGTACCAGAAAGTGCTCCTGAGCCACAAAAGGTCATATTAACTCACGGGACATTGTGTTTTCTCTGTTTCCTTGCATATGCTGTGGAAACACTGTGGCATCTCCCAGGGATTCGATGAACTTTAGCTCATTTAAAGTTTAACATAATGTTTGAATGATATGCAAATGCCAAAGTGAGTGTAGCATTTCTGCATGTAGAGGGCTGGTGCTGATGTGCTGTCCTCTGTCCTTTGACCCAGGTATTGAACACTCCTCGAAAAGGGGAGCTGGGGAAGAAGCAGCTGATGTGGCCGGGGTGTCATTCTCAGGCATTCCCTCTTCAGTGGGAGAACAGTTAGACCAATATAGAGAGTTCTGAAAATCTCACTTGTGCTTCCAAGGACTTACCAGTATGACTGGGTTTTCCCTGTGCAGTTTACTTAAGACTTATTCAAAAGGGCAATTAAACCCAGAGGAGGGGAGTGTGCCACGACACTCCTTGCCACACAGGCAGTAAAGATGCTTCATCACCAACAGTGAGAACATGCAACACATTTTTTTTTTTTTCAACTTTGGTCATATTCCATGTGTCCTTTATTTGGTGATTTGGGAAGAATTTATTGGAATTTGTGTTTTAACTTGAAACATATATAACAGAGATGTGTTATTTACTGTATCAGAGGCTGTCTTGCTCTTTGCTTGTTTTGCGGCAAGGTGTGTGTCTGTGCTTGAAGGTCAAGCTTACCAGTTTGTTAACTGGGTGTCTTTTATGTGGACTTCAAGCTGTGCCACGTTTTGCCTCAACAAGGAACAGCTTTTTCTTCAAAAGCTGAAGTCCTATTTTAGGCTTAATCTACACTGCTGATGGTACAGCTGGGTAATAATACTAGGTTTTTATTCCGATGACGTTGAAAATACAATCATTTTGAAGAGGGCAGATCTTCCATTACATCTTGTGTTGCTGAAAGTCAGCTTCAAGCACCGTGTTCTGTTTCTTGGCTGAGATGCATAATGCATCTTTGCTCTTATCACTGAAATTCTTGCTCAATTTCACTTTTAGTAGTGGATGAAAGTTTCACATCACAATAGCTAAAATCATGTCCATATAGTAGGTCCTTCTGAGAGCTTTCATCTAAATGTGGCTCGTGAGCTATGGCAGTGCTCCACACGTTGTTCTTTCCCTGGGATTTATATAAGAGTTCTCGCATTCTCCTGTTTTCTTTGGATGTGGATTCCCAAATGATTTCAAGTTCCCCTTCAGTTTTCCTTAAAAATAAACAAAATAAAAAAAAAAAAAAAACTAATTTAAAAAGTACTTTCCAGCAGTACATAATTTTGATGTGGATAAACAAATAATAAACTGCAGGTGACATATGAAATGATAATTGAAATTCATTCCTTTTTTTAAAAAAAGCTAATTGTAATGCTAGAGAGGCGAGGATGGGAAAAAAGATCTGGACCCATGTAGTAAGTAAATTGGATTTAGTCATAGAATCCCAGACTGGTTTGGGTTGGAAGGGGCCTTAAAGCTCATCCATTTCCAATCCCCTGCCATGGGCAGGGACACCTTCCACTAGACCAGGCTGCTACAAGCCCTGTCCAACCTGGCCTTGAACACTGCCAGGGATGGGACAGCCACAGCTTCTCTGGGCACCCTGTGCCAGGGCCTCACAATCACGTTGCAGAATTTCTTCGTAACCTCTAATCTAAATCTACCCACTGTAAGTTTAAAGCCATTCACCCTTGTCCTGTCACAACACACCCTTGTAAAAGAGCAGCACAGGCAAGGTCCAAATATCATGACTGTCGCTGTCCACTGAATCCAGGACTCATCAGTATCTGTGGGGCTGTGGTTCTGCTTCCTAAGATGGGCTCGTCTGTACCACATGCCCCTTCTGCCAGGAGTCCTGCATCTCTTTGCTCCAAGGCTGAAGTGTCTGATCAGAAAGTCGCCTTGGTGCTTAGCTAATGCCTCTTTGTGGAGGCCAAATACAAGCTCTGGAAACCTCAAGGCCTTTTAAGGCATTATAACTTTATGGGCCTGTTTGTCTTGCCACCCAAGCATAAATGAGTGAATTATGTAATGTGTGTTGGGTGTTTTTTTCCTCCTTCAGGGTGCTGCTGCTGATGGTCTGGTTTTCTCAACACTCAAGTTTCTTCTGAGAACAGCCCTCCCCTCCCTCCTCTTACATCTTCCTGTATCTCACCAGAAATTCCCTCAGCTGTGCACAGCACTGCCATCCTTGACTATGACTACTGTGACATTACCCTGTGCAGATCACAGCCCCAGAGGTAACCCCTGGGACTCCTGTTACTGGTAACCAGTGTTACCATGCCCATAGCAGCTGGTTCACCTCTTCAAACACAAACTTGGCATGTAGAACCAGATACATACTCAGCTATAAATGTGTCCTGTTTCCAGATGTCTTTTGGAAAAAGCACCAATGTTTCTCATAGATGTACGCTGCTGCCCAGAGAAGCTGTGGCTGCCCCATCCCTGGCAGTGTCCAAGGCCAGGCTGGATGAGTCTTGGAGCAACCTGCTCTAGTGGAAGGTGTCCGTGCCCATGACAGGCAGTTGGAATTGGATGAGCTGTAAAGTTTTTCCAACCCAGGCCAGTCTGGGATTCTATAAAATGAGTAAAAATAAAAACTGCACTCAATCCCAAACCTGGCCAAAAAATGCAAGATTTGTATTTGCTTGAGAGTAAGCAAAATGCCAGTGCTGCACTGTGTTTGAAGATGAAAAAGTCAACAGAAGTAGATTTTAAAGCAGATTCTTCTTTACAAAAGACACTGAAGTCATCCAACCTTAATCTGTGAGAAATGTTATTTGGGCTGGCACAAGAACTCATTTTCATCTGTCATCTAACAGTTTATTTACATAATCCTTAACACAAAGATTAACAATCTGTATTGGTGTTACCATTTTATGTGTGACCTTACAGGTAGGACAGCTCCTCTCCTTTGCCTGTGCATGGCTGTGAAGATTTTCTACTGTTGGCCCTCTTCTGAGGACAGCCTAAAGTAGTTCATAACTCAGACATTTAACATCCAAAGTACAGCAGCTGTAATGATCTCCCAGTACTGCTGCTCTGCAGAAGACTTATGAAACACACCATGACCTCAGGGTAAGTGCCCTCTGAAAGAGACCTGAAGCATTTATGAACCTGGTTTTCTACCCTGGAAGCACATTAACAACTCTGTTCATATCTGAAACATGCCATACAGCTAAGGAAAGGTATGTGATAATGATCACTCAGAAGATTACTCTGTAAACAATTAAAATGTCATTATCAGCTGCTCAAAGAACAGAAAATGGCTTCTTATCAGTTCCTGTAGGCAAAAGGTTGCTGTGAATTTCCAATATTCTCTAGCAAAGGCTGTAATTATTGAGAAGGTTCTACAGAGCAGCTTCTAGGAAAGTAAAATTTGCGTATCTTTAGAAGCTTTAAAAGCTTTTCTTTATCTAAAGAACAATTCACAGATTCACAGAATAGTTAGGATTGGAATGGACTAATTTTGTGTGCTTAGTGAAGAAAAGTCAATTGAGCCTGAAGAGGGAAAAGGGAATTTAGTATACTGTGTGGAAAGTGTAATTAATTATTTGACATTGCTGTGTTACATCATCTCATTTACCTACTTTGGGGGTAGAAAGGTAAACTTTTGAAGATCCATATTTTGGGACTTTGAATTATGCTACATCTAAAAAACCTCTTTAACTGTCTGTTAACCTGAACTCAGAAGTATGAAATGCAATAAATGATAAATCCTAAATAAAGTATTTCCAAATAAATGTGGAATAGTCAAAATACTGTTTTGTCACACTGCTTAATAGCACTGTATAAAGTAATCAAGAGAAACTCTGCTGATATCAGGTAGATGGTACCAAACCCTGTTTTTCTACTATTCTTTGATCTATTATTTCACAGAGGCTGAGATGACTTGCCAAATGACTGCTTACTTACCTCTCTTCAGCTGTAAAAACTTTTTGCTGTATGCTGATAAGGTCAATGTGATATGAATCTTTCCACTGCCAGAAGGAAAATGTGCCTTTAAAGGACTCTATTAAAAGGACATTTCAACACTGACAGTCATAATCTTGTACAATCTGTTAAATTATCTTTTTATACTGCACACAGCTCATCTAAGTCACTTATTAACAGAGCAGTAAGGTAAGGAAACCCATCACATGTATTCCCTTAATTTCCTACTATTCTGAAAGCTGTTGAGGGGTGTGGAGGGGAAAGTGTTCAGCCTTTAGTAAAAGATTGATAATTAACATGTACCTTCATGATTTATATACACACACCCCAAATCAAAGACAAGGTGCAGATTATTAGTCTTTTTGAGAAGAAATCTGAAAAACAGTAATAGTCATCCATCCCTCTTTCAAAAGGTCTCAGAGTTGGAAATTAAGAGACAATACCATATGAGGCAAGAGCTGGCAGCTGTGTGTAATTGTCTCCCCTTTTACACATCAGATCTACTTGGATTGCTCCTGCCCATGACTGATTACCTTTTCTGCTGCAGCACTTCATCCAGGGTTTCCTGCTTGTCTTGCAGCAGACGCTGAAGCTGCTTCACTTCATGCTGGTACCAAGCAGTCTTCCCAGCAAATTCTTTCTCCTGTTCAATCATCTTAAGACTGATATCTCCAAGCTTCCCAGTTGCTTTCTTTTTATATACCTGTAACAGTTGAAGATAATAGGGAAAATAGGATTAATAGCAGAAATAAGAATAACTCACTACCAAGAAAAGAAATAGCTAGGGATAGTAATTAGCAGTTTAATCTTTACATTGGTGCTGCCTTGCTTAAATATGTGAAGAAGGTTGCATTATGGTTTTAGTTACCTATTCATTAATTTGAAGGTGTTAAAATCACAGTTTGTTCTGCATATAAACTAGTGTGTACAGTGCTGTATGTTCATCGTAAGAGTCAAAAGAATTAGCTGGGAAAAAAAAAAAGGTTTGTTTTCCAAGATGCAAAGCTACATTGCATAGCACATGTCGCTTACTAATTGTCCAGCAGTCATATTTATCAATACATAGAGAAAAGCTGAACTTTCAACTCTGTCAGTAAATGCCTCCTCCAGCTCCAGACCTGGCACCTGACATTATCTATGCAGGGCAGGTGCCTATCACTGTTACAGAGAACTAGAAACAACTTCCTCTTTTAACACATAAAAAGGCTGATAAAGAAAGTGGTCAATAGTACTGGTGAAATCCACTTTTTGCCTAGTGGTCATTGATCATCCAGCTACTGGGAAGTGTGTGTTTTAACCTGGACTCTGCCTCAGCTATAAGGGACAGATGTAATTCTGATCATGCTCCTACGATTGTAACTAAGTCTATTTAAAATGTGTAAGCTATCTCAGCAGAACTTCAGCACTTCACTAAGTGAGGGGTACCCAGGCTGCTCCCTATTTGCTGTGAGAGCCTGGCGGGGTTGGGGTGGTTCTGGACACACTGACACAACTGCTGGCACTTAGAGAACTTTCACAGTAGGCTACCACCGTGCTCAAGACAACGTCCTGTTAATTTTCTCTAAAGTGAAGCAGGTAGCAGTTAACAGACTTGTGGAGATGACGATTTTAAGGAAGCGGGTGACAACATGTAGCTGGAAGTGGTAGTATTTTCCTCCAGAGCTGCAGAGGGTAGTCTGCCCAATGTCATGGCACTGCCAGTATGTAGTACGCACCCAAGATGAGGAAAGATCATGGATGCAGCAGCTGGTACTGAAGCTGACATAGCTCCTGTGATGATACAGTAAGTATGGCAAAAATGCCAACAAAACACCCCATCAAAAAAGAAATTGCTATGCTAGCCTTTCAGACTGAAAACACTGGGCAGGGGGGAAGAAAGTAAAATGGATATATTTAAACCTTTTTCTTTTTTTGGTACACAAAAGCTGCTCTGTGCATAATAATTTACTGGTTCTGTCATGATATTGAATTCAACTACAATAGTTCAGTTGGAAGGGACCTCGCATGATGATTCAAATGCGGGTTTAAGCATTTTATGACTGAAGTTAAATGATAAAGTTCCATGCATCAAGGACTCTCATGATTACTGCTGACAGCATATCAACTCCTAAATGCAATAATGACTACATGGGTTTTATGGTTAGTTTCCTCGCTTCTATCTTCTCCAGGGACAGATTGCAAATTAGTAAGTACTGTCTTTCCTTCCTGCCAGATGGACCAAGACTGGATACTGGTAGGAAAAAAATAAGGGCAGCCTGTTTGTTGAAGTTGCATGAAAATTAGGGGAGTTAGAGTGGAAGATGCTAGATGAGAGGTATCTTCAGTATAAAGGTTGTTTTCTACCTATTTTTACTAAAACTTTGTTTGACAAAATTACTATCAAACAGAGATTCAGAATCCATGAAACAACTTGTTATAATCTGACTTCATTTTGACAGGGTGTTTAATTTAAAGATGAATTACGTTTGCACTGAAGGAAAGATAAAGGTGCCTGATGATGAACTGGAGTGCAAAATCCATTATCAGAGATTTACTATTCACAGGTGCAAGCCTAAAATCTTGAACCGTCTTCCCAGAACTTGTGCTAGATGTTTGACTAAAATAATTCACGTAGGAGACGGATCTTCCTGTGTTAGCTGTCCCTTTTGCTGCTATGAGACAGGAATCCTGATGATACAAACATTAGTTCAAGCTCATACTAAAAGACAAACCAGTATGGAATTCTGACTGTAAAAAAACAGTTTCAACATAATAAACCCTGGCATCCTCAAGTTCTTCCCAAGGATCATCAGACTGCTTCATAATTACAATTATGGAGGTAAAAAGAGACTCCCCAGGGACTCCCAGTCAAAGTTCTGCCTCAGATTACTATGCTGACCATGGCACTGAGTCATATCTCTAAGTTCTCAGGATCAGCTGGACCAAGATCTCTTTCCAAAGCTACTCAAGCACGCTCCCAGAATACTGGTATCACTGCTTGGATTTCTCTGCTTTGGTTCCCTCCCTCTTGGGATCTATGTACTAGTGATTCAGAAAGTGAGCCTAAGATTTGTGCGTGTGAGTGTTGTTCCCTCCAGTCTAACAGCACGTCTTGTATATGGCTTCTGCCAGTGCCTCTGCTCTTCGCAAACCTGAGATGCAGTGTTTTATCACTGGTAAATTTTTAACTGAACTATAAAACAACTTAATCACAAACTTTAACCTTTATTGACAGATAAAAATGTGTCTAGTATGATATACATGTATTTTTGTTAAAGCCCAATAACTTGTGTGTGAATATGGGCAAAATGACAACATGGCACTATTCTGTGTTTCTTTTACTACAAAGATGGTGGTTACTATCATTTGATCCTGAAGTAAAAAAATTGTATTAGACCACCATCTCATATCTGCCAACAGAACAGATATTTGAATGTTATTCAATAACACCCTTACCCTGCTTTTATCAAATACATTGTCAGAAACAAAAACCAAGAGTCCCATTACAAGCTAGTTCAGATTTGAGTCAAATTTGTTCTGACGTCAAAGAGAAACATTAAATATTCCACTGTACAATCCAATTTTTCAGAAAGTTTTGAGTAATAAGAATTATGACAAAAAAAGCTTGCAGTTGAATGTTAAAGGGCCAACTAAAGAACAGTTTTTGTGCTTTAATATTTTTCATGATTCAATATGCCTGAAAAATTCTCACATCAACTGAACTATATAAAGGTAGAAATAAACATAATTTGTTTTCAGAATTAAAATACAAAACTACGTTTTGTTTCTTTAACACAGATCCTGCAAAATAATTATCTATTTTTCCAAATATGTGTATTCCATCTGTTTGATAATACTCTACTGTTATTTTCTAAATTTCATATGGTTGTATTGATAATTTACAACTTTTTGCCCAGTGAAAGCTTTGTAAAGTTTGTTTATAGTAATTGCTACATCTGAAACTGGAAGTGGATGTTTATAAAAAGAATCACTTTTATTTGCTATTTTAAGGACAGTTTAAAATATCTAATAAAGCTGTGCACAGAAATGGCAATGTGGTTTGGGGTTTTATTTTAGCAATAACAATTACTTAGCTTTAACGACTTTCACAGTGATTCTGTGTTTGATTACAGATCTATCAGACCTTGATTCAGTTTGAGACTTCTCAATGAAAAACAAATCCCACAGAATTTTTTGTTAATTTACTTTAGAATTATAGAATCAGAGAATCAGCTAGGTTGGAAAAGACCTTTAGGTCTTAACATCTACAATTTGGTTTACTTTCTTTGGTTTTAATTCATGGGATGTGTTGATCCTTACAAGGGAAGCGCAGAAGGAGTTGGTCTGTGTTAACACAGTAGTGCACACTTCGATGCAGGAATAGCTGTGTAGTCTTCACTGGAAAAGTGCAAGGTACAGGGACTCTCTGCTTTAGGGTAAACTGCATAAACTTGACCTAGCACAAAACAGCTTTTTAAAGCAATATATATTACTTCCTATATATGGAAACAAATGTACCAGATATCCTCCTCCTTCCTTGAATTTACAGTAAAAGCCATTATGGTAGCACCAAAGATATTAAACCAGAAGTTTCAAATGTATTTCACACTACACTACAACTACACACTACAATTTGTGTTTGTTTGGAGAGCTGTGAACGTGATTTATAATGTATTCTCTAATGAGGCTACATGTTTGAGTATCATCTGAGTATCTAAACCTCCTATACTATGGCCACACGAAAGTATTGATGATAACTGCAGACTCAAGAGATGTTTTTCATTCTTCCAAATCTAACTGTAATGGGTTTTAAGTTGAAGCATTAGTACAGGCTCAAAAAGTAGCAGAGGATAACTGGGTTACACTACAGAGCAAAAATGAAACACAAGTAAGAGTTTTTAATTACTTTTACAACCACTACTAATTCTCCAGGTAATGGTGTAAATGTGATGACATGACGTGCAGATGTTCAAATACAATAGAAAAAGATGTTTGTGAAAACTATAATGATAATCCATTTTGCTTTTTAAGAACTCTGTACAAAATAATCCATGAGTCTTTCATAGAACAGACACAGATTAGCTACTGACTTTTCTCATTAAATAATCCAAAATGTTTTACATAACATTTAGCTTAGAGTCAGTGATTACCTTAACTTTTTCTTCCAATCTTCCCAAGCGTAGACTCCCTTGTACTATTTTGTTGAGAACACCATGATTCTCTTTTTCCAAACATTTGACCTGCAAAGATGTAGTACACATAACTAAACATAATCATTACTTTAGACAGGGCAGAAAACACACATACACTAAGGAAGACAAAGCTATTCTGTTTTGAGCTTCAACAGTCTGAAAAACAAAGATGAAAAAAAAAAAACCTTGGAAATTATTCTAATAGTGGCTAATTAAGAAATTGTCAGTTGACTGCAAATACTATTCTATTAACAAAATAAGACTTTGAAACAGTTTATTCTGAAAGGATTATAGCTACTGATAATGTAAACCCAACCAATCCTGTGCATTTTCTACACATGGATATGTAGGAATCCCATTTGTATGCCTGAGATTCACCATTCTTCAATTCGCCCTTGGGTGAGATTTAGTAGGTTGCTCTCCAAAGAACCCTTGCAATTGGCAGGGATTCATGCAAGGAACATGCCTGATGTGGCTTATGAAATGCTTCTTATTTATGACTGTTTCCATAATTTCAAAAGCACTGCATTCTCAGATATAAAATGCAATCCAAACAAAACCTGCATAAGCTGTAAACAATTAAACAATTTAAAAACTGTAAGAGACTTCAACTGAATCAGCGATGTCTGACCACCTTGAATGACCCATGTCACTCCAGAGACACACCTCCTTTCACAGAAGTCACAATTAACCAGCACTGCTGAAGTCATGAGCTTCTTGCTCAGTCAGTGGCATTCTGATTTACTGTGTGACGGCTGAATCATACAATATAATAAAGTACCATTTTGACAGCTGCTAACTCAGGATTACAGTTCATCTGTGTTGCGCTGCCAAAATTGATTTAATTATATTTGTTGCTGCTCTGTTTTAATGGATTTATCAGTAGGCTGTCACTGTTCCTGGAACTAGTAATATTAAGATTATCCACTCATTTTCGTGAGGATGTAGTTACGATTTGCTTCTTTTTTTTTCAATCCTTATTAAGTAAGAATACAGAGTAATTAAGTGCTGGATCCTTTTGGCTCTCCATGTTCTTCTGGAATAAATCTGCGTAAAAGGAATTACTGAATTTTGAGGGGAATGATAATACATTTTAAAACATACATCATGTCCAATAGTGGGTTTTCATAATAATTAGGGTTTGGCTCTGGTTAAACTTTGTGTTTGTTTCTTTTCTAGGCCTTATTATTAGACAACATTGTCAGAGTACCTGACTACAAGATACCTGCCATCTAGCTTTTTGCCAAGGAACATTTTAAGTTCAGTGATTACAAGTAGGAACAGATTGTTCTGATTCAGCTCTACCAGGCAGCAAAGTAAACTGAGTATTTAAAGGTTCTACTCATACTAGACTATTTCAGTAAAAAAAGTCTGTATCAGAATATCTCCACTGTCAGCCCAGACAGAGGGAATTCATAAAAAAACCCCAAGACTTGTGTGCTGTTTAGTTTCTAAGCCACAAGATGGAGAAATAATAGATGACAAACTTGGATCATCATCATACCCACAGGACAATGTTAGCCTGGAGGAAGAAATGAATTCTGTTTTGTATGACAAGACTGAATCAGTTTACACTTGTCTAAGTAAAGTTTTGGTTGTAGTTGACTCCGTTTTGGGCTGTTTTCCACAGACCTACTGTGAGCTCTCTGCACATACACGAAACGATTTTCTAGTGTGTACTTCCAGGTGCAGGTTTCAGAAGGGAAAACTATGATGTCAGATATTGCACACTGGCAAAGACAGGGTTTACACTGTCATGCGGTTATCAAAGTTATGTTAAGACATTTCCTCCTGAAACAGGCTTTTACTGTTAAAAGTATTCTGAACATCTACTAAGGTATTAGTAAGCACACCATACGAATGGCATTCCACACATGTGGTATGCCGAATATTTGAAGGTAGATATACCAGAGACTTACAGATAAGAACCAGTTCCCCTAATTCCTAGGAGATGTTTATTGTGCCTAGTTTCACAACCCTAAAGTCCACTTAGCAGTGGACAAGGATTTGAGTTGTTCCTCTTATAGAATTAGGAATTAACTACTACGGAATCTTTTTACCCAACACTGATGACAACTTTTGTCTACTACTTGAACAGAAGCTAAAGAAACTTTATTTTAACAAAGTTTTGTGAAATGGTTTCCAGAACAATTTAAAGACAGAGTGCCAATAAGTAAAATTGAAACCGTATCCAAGATCTTGTAAAGGAAACAGTTTGCTTCTAAAAAGCCCAGCAATTTCCAAGTTGTCCCAAAACTCAACCAGTCTGTCAAAATGACCGCTCACCAAAAAGGAGTAATAATGCGCACATGGATCCACAGTAGAAGGTCCATACAGATCACTTCAAGGATAATTTACCTTAGATTTGGAAATACATATTAAAAATTTATGGTTGTGTGCTATTTTTCTAACATGTGTAGCTTCAACAACTGAAGCCAATTTCTAAAGTCAGGTTAAAAACTCTTTTAAACTTTATATATACCACTGCAGATACTAATGCTAATGCTTAACTATGTTATCTCCAGAAATTAGGGTAGTTGTTTTTAACCAGTCTTCTAGAAAACAATCATTTGCTGTCCCTATCCTGTTCGCAAAAGTCTATTTAAATAGCTAAATCCCTAAACTGAAATTATAGCTTTTTTCAATAATTCAAATTAACAATTACTTGTGCCAGTAGGGTGATAACTGTGTGAAATATCAAGTAACATTAATTAAAGGTAATTACCAAAAAAATAAGATGATCACGTTCCTGAGTTATCTTCTCCACCAAACCAATAAGGTTTGTTAGATATAGATGAGCTGCAGCTTCTTTTTCTGTTGCTTCCTCCAAGTGCACTTTCAAAAGATCTACTTTTTTCTTCAATTGTCTATAAAAATAAAAAAGGGAAATCTTAGGATTGGGAATTAATAATGGCATAAAAAAGAATTTATACTGCATGTGCAAATTAACTTGCACAAGTCTCAATCAAATATACTGTTAAAAACGTATCAGCTAAAATATCTGTAATGCAAAAGTATGATTTCCCATTTCTGGGGCTGTTTTTCTTTACAATATACTGTGTGAATAACAGTAACAATGATTCAAAAAAACAACTTGTGCAAAGGCTACAAGCTCATATTTAAAAAAAAATATAACAGTAATATTAGGAAAAAGAAAAGTTTTACTTTTTGAAGTACTGTGAAGCCAACTCTGAATGACTCAGGTGTGCGAGAAGGTCTGCAGATAACGTAACACCCTGTTTTTTCAGGTGAGTACATAAATGATAATTGCTATAGCTGACTGTTAGCATTAAAGATATATTCTTAATTTGCATTTAGCATTAGAAAAGTGTGTATAAAAAACTTATGAAATTTCTGGACAACGAGATGTGACAAAGATATGTTTAGGAAACACGTTTTCTTCTGTAACAGGTAAAAATTACATACGGTGAGATGTCAGACAATGTTTTTATAGGTATTTCTGCTGCTGCCTTTAGAAATACAACTATTTATATATAAGAAAAAGAGAATGTGGTATGACCTGTTTGTCTTTTGTGTCATTTGCATCTCAGTTTCCAAGATCTTGTTGTCAGTCATGACGTTGTTTTTCTCTAAAAGCAGTTTCTTGTTCTGAGCTTGCAGTGATGCTATCTTTCCCATCAGATCTTCCACCTCACACTGCTTTTTCTCCTGCTCCTGTTGTAAATGGCTGCAAATACCAACAATGTACAACAGGCATCGTATACAGACCTGCTTCACTAAAAAGCTAAGTTACAGTAAGATACCCATGTTGAAGGTATGAAAAAGATGCACTGGGAATGTTTAATGTTCAGTGGTGACATCAAAAGAGAGGAATTACAATCTCATACGATATCAAATAATGAATGAAACATAATACAAACAGAATTATTAGAATAATTAATCCTGACTGCAATTGAAACAGAATTATGAAAATATCCTGTATAGTCCAGATGTATTCTCTTCCTAATTTTTCCCAAAGAAATTACCAGCAATGCCAAAAAACAAGGTCTGATAACTTTCCATGAAGGCGTTGTACCAACAGTTTGCTTTTGAAAGCAAACAAATTTACAGGATGTCTATAGAAAAACATTACTTCACAGATCATGCTGCATGACAACACTTTTGCATTGTGCTGTTTTGTGTTATTTCCATATTGTAAAGACTAAAGAAACTTAGTATTTTTAGTTTAGAATATCAGGATCCTTCAGACATTTTCCTAAAGATGGAAGAACATTTTATATAATAGTGTTGACGGAACTAAATAGATTTGACAAAAACTGTATTTTTAATGCCTCCTCTTCTACTCTTGAAAAAGGTACATTTAGAAGTATGTACTGTTATGGTAGAAACATTTCTACTGATGTCTCCAGATCTGGGATTTCCTTCTGTAAATTTAGTTGTCTATAAAAACCACAACAGTATTTTTTGAAGTACTTTCCTTACACTTTAAAGTTACTTTCCTAGATTACCAGCGTATGTTTCTGTTCCCCTCTTACCTACAGAGTCATGTGTATGCGTATCTGTTTAAGTGGGTGCTTTGTGGAACTGTTTCTCCATGCACCCTATGTAACCTCATACCTTTTTAAATCGTTCACCAAAGCAAAGTGCTCCTCTTCTGCTATTCTGCTATTCAACTTGGCTTTTAGCTCTTCACAAGTAGAATGCAAAGCTTCCAGCTGCTTCCGGTACTCTGCTATTTCTTTTTCTTGACCCTGTTTCTTATCTTCCAAGATCATTATCTGTTTGGTCAATTTTGAAGCTTTAGGAGGAAAAAAAACCCCACAATTGAGCACTGTAGAGCTACATCAACTCACTAACTCCAACTACACCAGTAATATGTTAATTCCCAGTTGTTCACAGCATTCTGAAACAGTGGATTTGACAGTTTGTTTTGTATTTTAACAGTTTAGTTTGGTGTGGTGTGTGTCCCCTGTCCCACCCCCCCCCCCAAACAGTTTGTTTTGGAAAAGTGCTAAAGCTTTAAGACTGCTTCTTTTCAGGGCTCTAAGCTATTTGCTCACTGAAATGTCATTTTACTCTCAAAAATCCTATGATTCAGACTTTGTTAATTCAGGGAAAGAACCTAAATGGAACATGACTTTTGTAGCCTAGTAGGTAGAGCACACATTTCAAAACTGCCTAGTTTCTGTCCACTGATATCTTGAGTTTTTCCTGTAGTATGTATTTCAGACACCAAATATGCTGCCAAAACAGTTGCAGGAACTCAATGGAAGATCAGGGTCCTTGTTTCCTTATAAGAACTCCAGCAAGAGGTAACAAAATCTGGCAGTGTTTCCTGGGGATGTTCTGACAACTCATACCACACTGCTATTTGAGATTTGGAAAGAGGAACACCTGATTTTGGATTATTGTCCTTTAGGCTTGGGTACGAATAGTTATCTTTTAAACACAGGTGGATATATATCTATATCTATGTAAAACTAAACCAGAAACTCAGAAACTTTAAATGCAGAAAGGAAATTATTTATGAAATTAGGTGGGAAATGAATAAAAAAAATTCAGCAGTGGAGTTTTGCCACATAAATTCACTTAATGAAATTGTTCTCATCAGTGACTTACATGAATCTGGCATGATTAAACATTTTTCAGAACATCCTAATCTGTGAATAAAAATTAAATTTTGCTTTTTAAACTTCACTAAGAAATCTTAGTTGCAGTTTGGGGATTTTAAATTATAACACACTTGTTCTCTTTCTAATATCAAGTCAGACTAATTAAGTAGTATCCAGAGGAATCTATCACTGCAAAAAATAATTAGCAGCAGAAAAATCAATCTCAGCCAAGAAATAATATTTACAGGCAAGACAAGAAATAGCTAGTGTTCTGAATTCAGGCAAGTACAAACCTCTGATAAAACAGCAATAGATAACAGATTATTATTTGAGGATGCATGTAAATTTAAGCCAGTATCAAATTATAAAAGTGTAAAATCAAATATTGCTGTATGTAATTAACTATATTAAGCAATAAACATCGGTTACAAAGCAGAAAATTAAAAGCCCTACAAATTCTAAATTGAAATTTAAATAAGCAAATACCCCACAAATACCAACCTATAAAATTTAAAGTGCTCTTAAATTCTGAGAAGGAGCATATTGCTGTTTAACAGCTTTTCTCACATCTTCAGAGGAAACAAATCAAACTGGAGTACGCTGTTGAACATCAATAGGTGATACTGACATTTCTTCTCAGTATCAACTGACATCTGAGAGCTTCATTTCATATTAGGGTTACCTACATTCAGCAATGCTTTGTAGCCATACATGAACTTGAAAAAAACCCAAACCAAATCAACCCACCCTGCCCAAAAAAACAACGAAACAAACTCCCCATCCCAAAACAAAACTGAACTTGCAGAACCATCTTTGGTGTAGCTAAAATGACTAGCAACTCAAACACTTTACCTTCTTGAACATGTTGTCTGTGAGTATCTTTTGCTTTAGCTTGTTGAATTTTGAGCTGCTTCATCAACAGTCCGTTTTCTTCCAAAACCAGCTTGGCTTGAGTTTGCAGCTGCTGCCTGCAGTGACAACCAGCTTATAAATTAAATATAATTCAAATATTAACTTATGTCCAAAGAGAAAACGCTAATGGCTTCCAACTCTGTGAAGTTACAAAATCATATTTGAACCTCTTTAAAGAACAAATTATCCTAAGTGAAACAGTCCCAGCTTTCTCAGACTTCTCTCACATAAGAGAATTAAAGCTACATAATGGTGCCAGATGACTTGGAGACAGCTATGTAACTACTGAGCAAACCAGATTTGTTTTCAAAACACAAACCTGATACCTTTATAACATCCTATTTAACCAAATCTATACAGAAACTAAATACTTCTATAGTTCTGCTTGAGGAGGCTCTCACTAACAGTTGATGTTACTGGTTAAATCTGCAGAGATTAAGACTGGAAGAGACATACTGAGCCATGAAGTTCTCCTAGTGTAGAGTCAGTGTCATATGGTCCCTTCCATACAACTACCACCTAGATAATCAGTGCAGTAAGAATGTGTATGTTCACTGCTCACAGTGGATGCTATTGAAAAACCTGTTACACTGGTTAAGAATCCTCTTCCAATTTCCACCTTAGGTTTGTTTATGGTGAAAGAACACCCACTTGTCCTAGACTCTGCCCTAGTCCTATAAAAACAGCTTATGTAGTTCCTTGTATGCCTCCTGTTCCTGATGTGCCTACAGAAAGCAACATTGTCCTTTCTCAGCTTTTGTTTGCTAAAGGAGAAAGGCAAATCTCTCTAAACTCAAATAACAGAGGCCCTCCTTTTCCTTGGCTACAGAACAAACCCTTTCAGCTTTGTTTCCCTGTACTTATATATGGATGACTGAGACTTTCCAGATTTCCATGTGATTGTGTGGTTATTGCCCAGCCTCTACTAGAAGGATCTATTCTAACATTCCACAGGACTAGACTGCCTTTGTTTTTTCCCTTTACAGCTGTTGCCCTGAAAAGCTCACAATCATCTTGTGATGAACCAGTATGACCAGTCTCTTCTCCATCTCAGTTACTAACTGACTTAGGTAAATTGTTATTAAGCCTCATAAGTATTTTATACAATTTAATTTCATTATGTTTGCAAGATTCTTCTAATGCCCTATTCCAGTGAAAAACTGAGGCACATCTGTACTATCAGTAAAAGTATAAAAGTTAAGCATGTAACCTGCAAGCTCTGGGACAGAATTACATGGGCTTCAGGTGCAAAACTGCATATTTAATCTTTACTTCAAGATTATTCTAGGCATTGCAGATCAGCACAGGCCCTGCAAGACATAATCATGACCCTACTAACTCTTCAGCAAAACTTAATTTGCTTTAGGGGAACAGAATTTTCCCTTAAGGGCTGTCTTAAAAGTTTGCATGCAACAAGCAAAATGATGAGTAGGTTTTGAATTAATTTTTATTAATATTACTTGCCATTCTGTAGGGGTAATAAAGTTATTTTTATTTAATTGTTCATGCAGGTCTTCATTCTCCTTCACCAACTTTTCAACTTGAACTTTAAAATTCTTCATATCTTTCTGGAAGAGAAAAGAATCCACATAAAATTCTTTAGCAGTATTCTGTTTTGATTTTTACATCAACAAAACTTATATATGCCTGTGTGCCTTCTAATTCTTCTGTTAAAAACGTAAAAACATGCTATAGGTTGGGCAGAGATTCAGAGCAGCCCTGTGGAGAAGGACTTGGGGGTGTTGGCTGATGAGAAAATGAACATGAGCCAGCTTCAGTGTGGGCTCGCACCGTATCCTGGGCTGCATCAAAAGCAGCGTGACCAGCAGGTCAAAGGAGGTGATCCTGCCCCTCTACTCTGCTCTCCTGAGACCTCACCTGGAGTACTGTGTGCAGTTCTGGTGTCCTCAACATAAAAAGGACATGGAACTGTTGGAACAAGTCCAGAGGAGGCCACGAGGATGATCAGGGGACTGGAGCACCTCCTGTATGAAGACAAGCTGAGAAAGTTGGGGCTGTTCAACCTGGAGAAGAGAAGGCTGCATGGAGACCTCATAGCAGCCTTCCAGTATCTGAAGGGGGCCTGTAAGGATGCTGGGGAAGGACTATTCATTAGGGACTGTAGTGGTAGGACAAAGGGTAATGGGTTAAAACTTAAACAGGGGAAGTTTAGACTGGATATAAGGAAGAAGCTCTTTACTGTTAGGGTGGTGAGGCACTGGAATGGGCTGCCCAGGGAGGTTGCGAATGCTCCATCCCTGGCAGTGTTCAAGGCCAGGTTGGACAGAGCCTTGAGCGGCATGGTTCAGTGGGAAGTGTCCCTGCCGATGGCAGGGGGTTTGGAACTAGATGATCTTAAGGTCCTTTCCAACCCTAACTATTCTATGATATTCTCTCTATTCACCTTTAATTCAGATGTGCATACTTCACTTCTAAATGGCTTCCATCTAGTAATATTTGATTAAAAATAATATCTATATTTGAATTGTGTCACATTTTTGCCAAGTGTCATTCGAGTTAAGCAAGTTGTAGATCCTTAAAATATGGATGTAAAAAAATAAATTCTGGAAATTACTAGATGATACTATATATTATCAATATGAACAACATAAATTTGAATATGGTAGGATAATACAATGAATTTACAGTAATATAAAACTGTTGATGTTTTCTCCTTTTTATATGGTTTAATTTTTTTAAGGAAATAAATTATTTTGAAAACCTATGGCTGCTCTTCTCTGAAGCAAATCACCATTTTTCAAAGACTCACTGACAAAAAAGTACTTCTAAGGAGCAAGAAGAGTACTCATTCCTGAACTAGCTGTAAGTAAATATTCTTCTACCACAAAATCCACAGGCCTGTAACTGGAAGAACAGTTACACAGGGCACTGAATCCCCTGTTACGAATCAATCACAATTGTAAATTCCTTCTACCACTGACTGTGTTTATGTCTTACTCTATTCAGAGAATCCAATTCTTGTACATGCCAGTGTAGTGCTTGCTTCTATATCTGAACAGGCTGTAAAAAAAAGCAAGCCAAGTAGGATAAGATAGCACAGTAACTATGCATGGAAAAGTAAAACAAAGTCACTTTTAATTGGAGTCAGAAAACAGCTTTGACAAAGACCTTAAAAAATTTTCAGTAATTTATTTCTACTTTAGTGTAAGTGGTCTTTAAGTGGCAACTTGCCTCATGTTCTAGATGCAAGTCTTCCTTTTCTCTTATTCTGTCTTCATAAGCCAATAGGAGAGGTGACAAATACTTCATATCCAACTAAAAAAATAAAAAAATCAATCCATATAAATCAATCACAAACCACAATCTTATCAATATTTTTTACTATTTCTCCTGTTATGTATTGTTACTTTTAAAAGCTGTTTTTATATATACCTTGCAGACAAAAGTGCAGGGCTTATACAAACATGCAGACAGCTACATGCAAAATAATGCTGCAGAAGCACTTCAGAACACCACTTCAGGGACAAGCTTTGGAAAGGACAAATCTGGATGCTATGCCTTCACTAAGAAGCAGCTATTACTTATATATAAAACAGCAGAATATGTATGCAAATGAATATGAAACCAAGATGAGAATACAGTTAATAAATAATCTAGCCCAAATTTATTACTAAGTAGGAAAGGAATTTTTACACTCTCAAACCTGCATCTTTAAAACTAAATACATATGTATGTACTTCTTGGATATTATATATAGCTAGAAAGGCAGAGCAGAAAGAGGACTTAGGACTTCCCTATTTCTGTACAGTTCTGAATAAAGACAAGAAAGGAAAAATGCAATATCCGATTAGCATTTCAAGGAAAAATTGTTTCACGTATTACAAATTCAGTTTCACAGACTGTCTTCTTCTTGCCAGAAATTCAGAAGCACCTGGAAGACCGATGACCATTCCTACCATGGGAATCACTGAAATATGCTATTTTTTTTTTAAAATATTAATATTAAAAATATTTTTAAAAATATTTTTTTTTAAAAATAACCACAACATTATTAAGAAGATTAACAATTAAGAAGATTAACAATTTAACAATATTCCTTGAAGCAAACTATATGCTAGACAATACTAAGGGAAGACGGAAGATGGTATTTATGATTATCAGGGTAACAGGACTTCTACTTAATTTACATCCAGTAGTTCAAAGTCAATGATTATATGCAGCCTGGAGCTGCAACTGGAGCTGCACACTTCATTGCAAAGTTCTGACCTACATCTTTTTATGCAACAAACATGAATGTTTATAATGTTGTACTTGTATGTGATGGTTCAGCAGAGCAACTAAGTAATATCCAGAATACTTTAGATCCTGTAAACAAATTCTACCACTTTAGTCAGAAAGGAATGAGCAGGTAAGTGAAAGTATTACTTTACTTACCAGCCATGGTGGTGGTGGCCCTTTCATGGGTAAGCTTTTCAGTTTCAGATGCTAAAGGGGATTTTTAAAAAGATACTGAAATTATTTCCTGCTCTTCGAAGCACCAACAACTGTCCATTGCAATCACAATTATTAACCCAAACAAGCTTATGTTTCTAATTACATGTGTTGCATATGTAATACACACTCAACAAAAGTCACCAAAACTGGAAGTTCAGTATATTATTAATACAGGAGACAGTCTAACTTCTTACAAGTTAGATTTAATGATAAATGCTTATTTTAAATTTCAGAAAAAGCCTATACCATTTGGCCGATTTAGAGTAAAGTCTTAAAAACTCAAGGATGAATCAAAGGACAATGTGACACTTCAGTACAAAGTGCTTTTATAACCAAGAGTCTTACCTCTTCTTGGGCCAATGGCCTGAATTTAGTTTGATAGCGACTTAATTCTACATTTAAACGATGAACCGTCCTTTTCAAAGCATCATTTTCATCTATCAGCTCTTGCGCTTGTTGTCTGAGATAAGGCAATTCTGTAGCCTCCTCTATCAAAACAAACATCCAACAAAAAATTTCAATCGAAATTCAAGGAATGTTCACATTAATTTGTAAGGAAAAAACCCTCAGTAAGCTAGAATCATAGGAGAATTTCTCTCAAAATACTGCAATGGAAAAAGCCCATGAAAAAATACTAATAAGAAAATAGTACATTTCAAACCACCAACTAATTCTTTCATGACTACGTAAGTATTCCTTGACAAAATTTTTATACACGTAGAAAATACTTTTCCGAAAATACTCTGCACAGATACTTACTCAAGACAGTAAGCGAAAACCTACTACTGAAGGAATAGCTTGTAAGAAATCAGAAAAATCAAACAAGGTAACTACATATGTTTCTCCCACCTTCTCTATGTGACTTCTCTGCAGCTTCTTTAAGTCTTGTGTTTTCTTGTTTTAGTCTCTTCAGCTTTAATTGCTGTTCTTCCATTTGCTGTTTTGTTCCCTGAAATTGCTGAACCATAGCCTGGTATGCCTTGTTCAAAGACCAGTTTTCTTGTTTTAGTTCTCTGAATTTCTCTTTACTCATATTTTCCTGTGCTTGTCTTGCCCGTATAGACAAATCTGCAATGCCACAGTACAAGGTATTTAAACAGTTTTCAGACTCTGAGTTTCAGCAAGTTTAATACTTATTTCCTAATATTAGCATTATGTATGAACGATACCTGTAAGACATTAATCATCTCATAGCTCCCAGAAGATAAGGCCACAAAGAATGAAAAAGTGGATTTGGAAAGAGAGCTACATGGTAGAGTGGCTGAAAGCTCCCACTTTTCTTTCAGACACTGAAAACGTTCCTTCTTTAAAGGGAACAGAAAGTGTCAGCAGATTTCCCTCTCCCTAGCATCAGTGACTAGAGAGTTAAGATAGAAATATCCACTGAATTGCATGCACCCTGCATGGGCCAGTCAGTCCTCTTGATCCCTCCTTAGTTTTATCCCCTATGTAATGAAAGCTTTGCCCTCCTTCTCACTGAACAGGCTTCAATGATCTGTTACTGAACAGAAGTTACTTAACAGCCCTTACAGAAGTAAAACTTAAGATGATCTGCAAAATCATGGATATACTTGTTGCATCAGTAATAACAGACCACACATTCAAATTTTTCTTTCATCTGTGTGGGCAGAAAAGCTCCTTAAAATGAAGGCTGAGATTCTATCCTTACCATGAGACTTTTAAGAGTCAGCATTATCTAGTAGCATGTAGGCATGAATATAGCTTAGTATAGAACTTAGTATAGTAAAGAATATATATAGATTTGGAGCTCTCTCTTGTAATTGATGACATATGACAGCTTAATGTGTTTAGTAATATTTCAGGCACTTATGATCACTGTAAACTTTCTGTGGGAAGGCACAGGATACTTGGACAGCAGAGAAATACACAAAAACCCAGTAACTCATTGTCCTGGTTTAAACCCAGTCAGGTAACTCGTTCGCTCACTTCCCCCCCTTTTCTTGCCCTCCCCCTGCTCTCGGAGGGACGGAGAGGAGAATCAAAAAGAATGCAACTCCCATGGGTTGAGATAAGAACAGTTTAGTAACTAAGGTATAACACAAATCACTACTGCTACCACCAATAATAATAATGATAAAGGAAATAAGAAGGGAAGAGAATACATCATCTCACCACCAGCCGACCGATAACTCGCCCCCCAGGCCCAACCAAGCTCCGACCGATACCTCCTCCAACCCCTGCAGACTCCCAGCCCTTACGGCTAACTCCCAGTTGCACCCTGGCCATGACGTGCTGTGGTATGGAATACCTCTTTGGTCAGTTTGGGTCAGGTGTCCTGTCTCTGCTTCCTCCTGGCTCCCCCTCCTCCCTGGCAGAGCATGAGCCTCACAGAGTCCTTGGCCAAACCAAAACATCGCTTGTTATCAGCTCTGTTCCCGAGCTGAAAGTCAAAACACTGCACTACACCAGCTACCAAGAAGGGGAAAAATGACTGCTACTGCTGAACCCATGACATTATCCACCCCTTATTCCATACCATTCACGTCATGCTCAGATCCCACATTTTCAATATACCATCACTCTTATCTCAGTGCACTCTTATCTTAGTGCATGGACCAGTCCCTATAAAGCTGCTGAGTCCATCTGGTCCATGATGTCAGGCTCCATCTCTTCTAACAGTCTTCCAGAGCAGGAGAGACTGTGTGCAGTGTTCACACTCGTGAATAACTAGGGCAATAGTGTCCATTGCTAAGTCCACCCCTTGATCATGAGTCCATCTCTGTGTTGCATCTCTGCTCTGATGGCCTGAAGTGCTATGGGCCAACCAGGCTTAAAATAATTCACTGTCCCCTTAAGCAGTTTCTGCAGCTTGTTGCTGGGGACTCCATACAGCTGCCTTCCATCTCCAATGCTTCCAAAGCACTGGAGGGGCCCAGTGGACTAGATACTTGCCCATACTGTCCCACACACGCTGCCACTCATCACTGTCCAGCCTTGGAGAAAACCTTTTGGTCCCCCTATATCCTCGTCTAAACCCAGACAAGACCCAAACCTGACTCTGTTTAACTTTCAAGATCAGACATAATGGTTGTGGGTAGAACACAGCCTGTGTGTGTGCCAACATGCTGATCCCCATCACAATCAGCAGGCAGGTCCCAAGGATACCCAAAGGCCATTCTAAACCTTCAGAACTCTCACACGATGCTGCTGTACTTGTCACTGGGGCTGGTGTAGCTGCTGTGCTTGCCGGCTCTCCCACCGCCAGCTTCTCTTTTCCTGAGTCCAGCTCTTCCTCCTCTGCCTTGCTGGGAAATGCTGCGTGGTCTCCTGCATCCTCCTGGGGCTCGGCGGGCGGCTTCCGGGGAATGCTCTCGGCCGTCGCGGGGCTGGGCTCGGCCGCGGGGCTCGGCTCCTCCGCGAGGCTCGGCTCTTCCGCGGGGCTCGGCTCCTCCGCGGGGCTCGGCTCCTCCGCCGCCTTCTCCCGCTGCTCGGCAGCCCCTTCCTTCTGCTCCTCGACCGCCCCGACCTCCTCCACCGGCAGCCGTCCCCCCGCGGCCTCCGGCCCCGCTCCCGCCGCCGCTTGGTCCCCGGGGCCGCTCTCCCGGCCCGGTTCGGCTGCCGCCGGCTCCCGGGGCCGCTCCCCCTCGGCTCCCCGCAGCCTCACGAAGATGGAGAGTAGGGTGAGGGCCAGGACGGTGAAGAGCAGCCGGATGGCCAGGTACAAGTCCACGGCCACGTCCGTCCCGCCCTGCTGCTGGAGCCCACCCGTATTACAAGCCATTGCCATAAAGCACAGTGAGACAAGAACCTTAGCCCAGGCCCCACACTTGATAAACACTAACACAGCAAATACCGGCTCTACATAAGTTACAACATTCTGAAGCTGTGAGATCAAGAGAAACAACTCTGAGACCCAATAAATCAGCATTGTGACGAGTGACTATTAATCTGGTCAGATCTGTCGTTATCTCAACCCTTCGTGCCCCACGTTGGGCGCCAAAAAGAACTGTCCTGGTTTAAACCCAGTCAGGTAACTCGTTCGCTCACTTCCCCCCCTTTTCTTGCCCTCCCCCTGCTCTCGGAGGGACGGAGAGGAGAATCAAAAAGAATGCAACTCCCATGGGTTGAGATAAGAACAGTTTAGTAACTAAGGTATAACACAAATCACTACTGCTACCACCAATAATAATAATGATAAAGGAAATAACAAGGGAAGAGAATACATCATCTCACCACCAGCCGACCGATAACTCGCCCCCCAGGCCCAACCAAGCTCCGACCGATACCTCCTCCAACCCCTGCAGACTCCCAGCCCTTACGGCTAACTCCCAGTTGCACCCTGGCCATGACGTGCTGTGGTATGGAATACCTCTTTGGTCAGTTTGGGTCAGGTGTCCTGTCTCTGCTTCCTCCTGGCTCCCCCTCCTCCCTGGCAGAGCATGAGCCTCACAGAGTCCTTGGCCAAACCAAAACATCGCTTGTTATCAGCTCTGTTCCCGAGCTGAAAGTCAAAACACTGCACTACACCAGCTACCAAGAAGGGGAAAAATGACTGCTACTGCTGAACCCATGACACTCATGACATGTCCCATCCATGTGACACACAAAGCCCAGAAGGTGCTGTGCCTAGAATTGTTACATGGATGCAGTAACATAAAAATAAGGCATTAGACAGACCGTGCATCTGCTATCACTGTACGTTTACCACTTCAGTTGCAATGGAATACTAAACAATGGTGACATCCTCTAGTGTAGATGAGACTTAAGGGATTGGAAAGTTCTAGTCTGACTTTATTAATCATTTCACAATCATTTATTTAAGATTCCAAAAGTCATTCAGATTGTAAAATCAAAGCAAGTCTAAAACACCTAACAAAAATCCCGGAACTACTGTTTTATACATATGACAGAGCACATAGCACTTTCTCACCTCCTGCACAGGAGAATTGCTTCCCCTTCTTCCCCCAGTTTAGGTTTAGAGAATACAAGCAGGAAAATATATTTTTATATATATATGCATAGTATTAAAGTGAAGACGTGTAGTAAAGTAATAGAAAAATCAGAAGTACCTGGGGATGGCGGAGGCTTTCCACATATCAGATTTTCAGCTAATGATTTTTCTTCCTAGCAGAGAAATAAAAATTAGATAATCTGCTTTAAAAGTTACTTTCTGAAGTACTCTGAACAGCATCACTGCTGGAGAACTTAAGAAACAGAACTTTTGAAGCAGTTTGTTTCATATCAACAATTTTTCATTTATGCATTTTTACCTCATTTTGCCACTTATGGATACTTGAAACTTAGTATTTTTCTTTACATGCACAGTCCTCAAAACAATTTTATTGCTGACATAAAAGATACATAAGCATAAAGCTTCTTGACCAAACAGGATGGATAATAGCTCCCAATTGTCAGTTTGTATAAAGTAAGTCTTTAGGATAGTAAATTATGACATGAACTGTCAGTCCCTAACTGTGACTCAGTGAATAAATTAAAAAGTAAAATATATGTGGTCAAGGACTTGAAGAAAGAAAGCGACCTTAACAATGGAAGAACTGACCATTTTTGCAAATAATGTTCTAGCAACCTGATCTAGGAAACTAAACTTCTGGGTATTATTTTCAAGCTTATGAAAGCATGCAGATGGGCCCAGCTGGGAAACCAGATAAAAATTTGCTGAAGCCAGGCTTAAACTTGAAAATTAATAGTAAGAATCATCTCTTGCTATATAACATGATGTCTTTCACATGAAGAACAACAGAAGATATATTTAAAAATGAATTAACAAACCCCAGCTTTTACATGGCCTATTTACCTACATAGTCATACTTTTTCAAAAGGAATTATTAGCCATTCTTGTACTCCAAAAGAAATATATTCCCTAGTAACAATAAGTTAATTTTAAGTGACTATAAACTATCAGCTCATTATTACACTCTTTCCCCCCAAATTTACAAATTAATCTCCTTACCTTTAAATTCAAGCCAAGACGTTGGTGTTCTGCCAAATTAAAACAGATTTTTTCAGTCAATTAAAAAAAAAAGCATTTGTAAGTCTGTAAACTGTAAGGGTTCATATGGATATGTAACCATATATATACTGCAAATAAATGTAAGACAGTTATTCCAAAAAATCAGAAATTACATCACTAACTTTCCATTCTCTCTCTCATGGTGTATCTGGATACCTTACTTCACCTCATGCTGTACAGATGTAACTACGGAAGAAATTAAGCTGTACTGCTATCTTCCACAATTATAAGTTCACTAAAGGACAAATGAAATATTTCTATTGATTTTACTGAGCTTGAACTCTATTGCACCTCTGAAAGTGCAAATCTGACCACTCCCAAGATCTGCAGCACTTGCTATGTAGAAGTGGAATAAGAAACTGTTTATGGGTCCCATTATTTTCAGTTTAATGCATTCACTTCCCAAATGGTTCCCAAAGCAACCCATTCTTTCTGAACATTGTTCTCTATGAAGTTTTTCAAGTAATTCCACTGAAATAATATTGAAATAATACTGGGAGCCACATAAATAACACTGAAAAAGATGCAGATTTTTCCAAAACGACCCAGTTACGCTTTCTGGTTTATATCCAACAGCTAGTAGACTTCTGCCATCCTCTGTCAAAACTGCATATTGCATCTCTGCAGCAAATTCTGATACCCACTTCTCCCGATTTTAAAAGAACGGACAAGATAACTATGTAATAAATTAGTAATTGCTCTTACTCTCTTGTCATATTTTTTCATTCACAGTATTCCATTGTTACAAGAAAACAGCCAAAAGTCATAGAATCATGGACCTGAATATAAGGAAGAAGTTCTTTACTGTTAGGGTGGTGAGGCACTGGAATGGGTTGCCCAGGGAGGTTGTGAATGCTCCAACCCTGGTGGTGTTCAAGGCCAGGCTGGACAGAGCCTTGGGTGACATGGCGTAGTGTGAGGTGCCCCTGCCCATGGCAGGGGGTTTGGAACAAGTGCGATCTCAACAAGAGCAGAGTAAAGGGGCAAAGCAGAGTAGAGAGGCATACTACATAAGAGGGCATGCTATATGAGAAGACATACTGCATTAGAGGGTAATACTATATAATAATTTTACTTCTTAGGGGAAATAAGGGCCTTAAAAGGTATGCATTTTGACTTAAAGCAAGCTTATTTACCTTGTATTTGCACATTTGACTCATCCACCAGCACCTGAAACTCAGTTTCATGAGAAGATGCCTGCTTTTCACCATTTGTACTAGGAGATGGTGGAAACTCTTCCTATATAAAAATAAGACAAGCCAAAAATCATGATAACACTGTTGAAATAGCCCATGTGTCTTGACATCTGTATGAAATCTTCAGCATACTACTGTCCCAGTCACACAGGAAATTCTACTCCAATATTTTAAGACAATAAATTAGAAGACATACTCATTTTTTGCTTGTTTTAGGGCTCTATGCGTATAAAATCTAAACCTCAAAACGATCAATGAGAGGTAGAAAACTATAATAACCATTCAGTTCACAGGGCAAATACTCCCTGTCATGATATTCAGTCACAAGAGCCTGTGAAATTATCCTACATTTACTTGTTTGCTCTTAATAAAAAGTCAACCGTTTACCTACTGTATCACAGCACTGGGGGATTCAAGAATAATTTTTAACACTGCCTTCACTATTTTTCCTGTTACTGGGATACAAGTGTCCCACATACTCCACTCACTCCCTTTTTTTACCCCTCATTCCCTCCTCTCTGACTACTATCCCTTCAGTCAGGGGCATTTTCTGGTTTCTCCCATATACATAGCATTTTATTGTCTCTTTACTATTCAGTTATTTCTTCCTGTTTGCTAAAATTTTGCGTAATTTTAGACTGAATTCTAAATGTGTCTTAGGAGTATTAAGCTGCCCATTGCTTGTTATTACTTGTTAAGAGAATCCAAAACTGTAACATAGAAAAATCCAGTGGTCTTCAAGACAACAATTATTTTGTTTGATTCTGAATACCCTGTCTCTATCTAGGTCTCTGCTTGTTAGCACAATACTGAATCATTAACCATTTAAAAGTAGAGTTCCTACTACTTTTAACAACCTACCTATATAACTGTTATGCTCAACAAAAATATTGAACATTTTACAAGACTAATTATGCAAAAGTACTATATACAATACCAGTGATTTTCTGATAAAAAAAGGTATGTAGTAATTGGGGATATGCAGTTTGAGATCAACAAACCTAACTCAGGTAGGAGTAAACGAACCACAGAAAGAAAGATGTGAAATAAAAATTAACTGTCTGAAGAATAAGAAGAGAATGAAAAGTCTTAGAAATATTTAATATTTGCATGCATATATTAAAACATAGTAAAGGAATTAAAGCATTTAAAAACTCTACCTTTTTCTTCTTGCAGGAAACAGCATAAATTGCATTGGTTCTAACGTTTTCTCCCCTTCTCTCATTACTCTGACAGCTGGACTCTACCTCTTTCTCAGCATCCGAAAGATAAGTATCCATGTCCTCATCCTCACCATAATTGCCTGATATTTCCAGGGACTGCACGGGAGATTTGTCACTACCATCAAAATTCCAGTTGGGCCTGCAAGTAGAAAGCAGTTTAAAGTCTGTTTTAGCGTTGCTTATTTTTCCATAAAAATAAACACTAGTAAAGTAGAACCATGGTCTTACAATATACACAAGTCCAAACAGCCAAAACAAACAAGACATCTAAGCTTCTGTTAGCTGCAAATGAGGAATATAGCCTATCTGTATGCTTTAAAATAGATGGTTAGCACTGCAGCTACATTTTCTTCTCTGCCTTAAGAAGAAAGCCAGATCAGAGATAGAAGGTTGCTAACTCTACTGGAAGAAGAGTCTGAAATAAGTATTTAGCACAAAGGAAATATCTGATGTAATTCAGATGATTACTCAGCGATTAACTGTTTATGTAATTGATTGTTACTTAGCAGAAATAATACATGGCTTTACATGTGACTGCTGTGTAATCCAAATCTCAATGTTATGCATACAGTGAAAACTGTATGCAAACAACACTTTATAAGAAATGAGGTAAGGACTGCAGATGCTTCAGACCCAATTTATGATGTGATGAGAAAAAGTCAGTAGCTATAATAGCAGGAGTTTGCTGTAACTCTAGAAAACTTTTAGCACTGGCAAATTCTATTTGTAATACAAGGTATCAAACCACAAAGTATGCACTACCCCATTCCAATCTCTGTGGCTGTAGCATATGGCTCGAAACATTCCTGTTCCACATAGCTGGAATCGCTTTCAGAAAGTGATCGCTGCCGAGGCTGAGGAATAGCAACAGTGCGCCCTGTTAGTGTTGTTGCAAGGATAGCAGCTGCTAGAGCTGATCTGGAACAAAACAGAATAAAGCAATGAAACAATACCGATGTCTCCTCTGTGCTCTGCATTTTATGCCTTTTTTTTTTTTGCAAAATATTTTCACTATTTAAGCAAAGCAAAATGTTCACAGTTAACAGGCATCAGCAAAAAAATCCCAAAGTAAAGCACAAAACCGGACAAGCTATTTTAACACAGCTATCTTAAGAGTAAAGCACAATATCTATTGGGTTTTCCAAATCACATGCATGAAAATCATGGAATATACCAAGTTACATTCCCCAGATTGACAAAGATAATTTACAGTACTTAGCATTCACTTTAGCCATAACAATACTACCTGGCATTGTGTTGAAACAGTGTTCCATATTCTGTTATTCTGCCTTCTAGTTTCCATTATTCCCTAATCTGAACCTTTTACTGGTAACTGAAGCTGTTAATAAACGCTGGCACGTTGCAGAGTAGGGCAAGAGTAAGTAGACAGAAGCACCTATTTGTGGGATGCTGCGGTGAATAGGGAAGAGTAAGATGTAGAAGAAAAAACAAGTAGGAACCAGGATTAAAGAAGAGAAACAGTGAGGACTGTAAAAGAAATAACAGCAACTGGAGGCCAAAAAAGAAGAGGAAATGAACTAGGATTAAGTAGGAATGTTACAGACACTAGAAAGACCAAGGAAGACAACCAGAACTGAACTAAACAGAGAGAAAACAAATAAAAAACTGTAAGAAACTACAAATGAAAAGAGAAATAAAGTTCTATTTTCTATTTATGCAACTTTCCTATGCAGCTAATTCAAATCCAATCCAGCATGGTTTTACATGCCAATTTTTTTAAGTCCCTGCTTTTTTTTAATATACAATAAAGTGGCATGTTAGTTACATTAAATTTACACTTTTCTAATGAGCTAAAATTTCCTGACTCGTACTACACGCTACTGTAGCCAAATTCAAAATAGCCCCAACTTTAAATAGTTGTCTTTTATTGACTCAGGTTTATAATAAGTTATATATTCATAATGGCCATTGTCCTAAATATTCAGCATGCTTAGGAGTGGAAGAAAACCAGGAATCTTTAAAATTCAAAGAAGGAAACTGCCCCAGTTAAAAATACATTCTATTTCTGAAAAGGTTCACATAAATACTACAACAAGGACATGCAATTCTTCTAATCATGCTTTTCTATGCAATTTTCTATGCAATTGCAGTTGATGAAGAAAAAACCAAACCAAAACAAAGAATTAGACACCTACCTGGGCCTTTCTGGAGAAGGGTTTGGACTACGAGGGGGAGGGGTGCGGGGAACTGCAGGTTTAGGAGCTATGGTAGCAGCAGGGACCAGGCCATGAGCTATATTTTTCTAAACAATTTAAAATAAAATTAGTTGACAATGACTTTAAGGATCATGATTAAAAAAAAACCAACAACCCACAGAACTGAACATGCACAAAAGCTAACAATGCAAAATATCTTAAAAAGGACAATTACATGCAATTAATATAAACAAACTAAATGGTTCCAAGTTTAACTTTTTAACATGTATTAACAGCTGTTAATAAAGGTTAGAAATGTAATTTATGTAAGAGCCATGCACGTAGGTTTTCCATTAACTGTATTACAACCTGCGAAACCAGAATTTGAGCTTACTCAATTCAAGTTTGGCTTGGTTTGGTTTTGGTGTTTTTTTTTCTTCTAGAAATTTAATACAAGCTCAGAAAAACTGGGGCTGGAGTTCCCGACAAAGAGTACTTTGAATGGAATCACATAATGGTTGAAGTTGAAAGGGAGCTCTTGCGATTACCTAATCCAAGTCCCTGCTCAAAGCTGGGTAAACTAGAAAGGGCTGCTTGGGATCCTGTCCAGTTGGGTTTGGAGTATCTCCAAGGGTGGAGACTCCACAACCTCCCTGGGCAACCTGTTCCATCATCACAGTATTTTAAAAATTATTACTGTGGACCACCCTTACATTGGTCCTTGCAGTATATTTTTTATATTATTACATTTAAGTTGATTTTTTTTTGTTTGAATTTATGCCCATCTGCCTCGTCTTTTCTCTACACATTGGAAAATACTATGTCATAACCAAGCACATCGCCTTTTTTATGGAGTAAAACAGGCTAAGTTTCTGGTGTTTCTGCAACAGTTTGGAGGTTGGGTGTTTTGTTCGTTTGTGCATGTGTGTGTCCCGTCCTTGTTGTCCCCCCCCCCCCCCCAATTATTCTTGGCTGTCTTCTCCAGCAGGGTAATGAACAGGTGAACTGTGGAATATTTCTGCCTTCACAGGAAGGCGCATCAAGTAACTAAATGGTGCATTACGTCTTTTTACTCGATCTTACACTGCAAATGCTCTTTAATTCTAGAAGTCTGCCTAGTATTTTGTTAACTAAAGACTATTAACAGCAGATGTCTTACTGTGATTACCAGGGAATACAGCTGAGGGAGAAGAATGCTGTCAAACCTCGAAGTAATACAATATAAGGTCAATACTTTGTTTTCATTCTAGTAACAAAAAACCCCATTTCAATCACTTCAAGAGCGTCGGACGCCAACATCCGCACCGTTGCTAACAATACTACAACCCTTGGCTGCTCTAATCTTCCACTACGAGCTTTCATCAGTTCCCTCTGCAGCAGCGACCGCGCGCTCGGAAGATCACCTCCCCAAGCGCTAGCAGCGACCGAGCCGCGCGTCCGCCGGGGGATGCAGCCACGACAGCGCCGGGAGGGGAAGGGAGGGAACCGCACCCCGCCGGGTGCTCTGGAGCAGACACGCAGGCCCAGAACTGAGGAAAGCACCGCACCAGCACCCAGTCTCCGCACACCTTTTCTGTACTTAGGATTTATTTTTCTTCCCGTTTTTCACTTCAAAGTGCTCAGCCATCACCGGCATCACCCGCAAGGCGCGGCCACCTTCCCCGAGTGCCTCCTCTCGCCCCGCCCGGGGCACGCACCCCCTCCTGCGCCGCTTCACGGGCACGGAGACGCGGAGTGGCAGAAGCGGTACTCACGAAGGCGCTCCTGCGGCCTCTCCTGAAGCTGAACGCCATTGGGGCCTCCATCGCCACCGCCTCCCGAGCACTTGTCCTACGCATCCGACGCTTCTCTCGTCGCGAGCCGCCTACTAACAACGACGCGACAGATTTGCTGCGGGTTTGCTCTTCCCCAATCAGTACGCACCTTACTAACTCCTCTACCGGCCTTAGCAACCTACCAGTGGTGAGGCCCGCCCCCCTCCGCCTCCTCATTCGCTCAGGGGCGGTGGGGCTCTCGCTTCCTATTTGCTGGCTCCGCCGTCAGTCAGGCTGGCTGTTGGTGTGGCGGTACGCTGGTACGCTTCTTCACAGCGGGGACTCGGTGCTGCGGCCCCCGAGGGGCAGCTGCGGCCCTGCGAGGTGGGAGCGCCCGGGACGGAGCTCAGCCTCTTCCGAGCAGGTCAGCGGTGGCCCGGCGGGACCTTTAGGGCGGTGCCCCGCTCCTCTCGGAGGAGCCGGGGCAGGGCTGCAAGATGTGGCTCGGGGTGGTGGTGGTTGCAGTCCTACCGGCTCGTCTTTGGCTCTTTAAATCGCGCCAGACCCTCAGAGGCTCCGGTTTTCCCCTAAAGTTAGAACACCGCATACAGCTGAAAATCATTTCTGCCTGCTAATAATCTGGCTGGAGACTTCTACCAGCTGAGGGCTGGAGATGCCTCTCGAGACAGGTTTGTGATTGAAGCAGGCTTTCTCCCAGCAAGGGTGGATGAGGGCGTAGAAAAGGCAGTGTGCGTTTGTGGTTTGTTTTTATGGTTTGGTTTTGGTTTTGGTTGTTTTCTAGCCATCAGCTTGTCATAATTCAAGTATTTTTCTTACTGACTGTGTAGTTAGTAGAATTTGCAAGCAAACAGCCTGTATTCAAGTAAACAGAGATGCGTACTGATTTTATATGTTAACTATAAGGTGGCATCAGAGAGGAGATAGTGTCTCTTCCAGAGTATTACATCTTACACACTTTAATAATAAAAGATTGTAGCAGGTTTATAAAATGTGCTAATCTCTCTTCCACATTTTTTTCTAGGGTATAACTGTTACCAGTGACAATGAAAGCAAACTTTCCTGTGGCAGCAGGATCTGTAGTTGTACCTTACGGGCATGTGATTGGAAATGAGAAGTGGAGAGGGTCAGAGATAGCCCAAAGGCTGCAAGGTAAGCACAAGCTGGAAGAGGAAAAGCAATTTGGGCAAAGCTTACCCCTCTGTCGCTTAGTATGGTTAAGACTGCCTGGAATATGCTTTACTCTGTGTCTGATTGATCCTGTATTTGTGGTGCAATCTATGTTAGCGGGCTGAAAATTGTTTTTTGTCTATTATGTATCTCCATGGTCAGTTCTGTCATACTTGCATAGCTGTGGAGCACTGCAGGGAAGGAGCAGAAGTATCTGCTTCTTGGGAACTGCAGCAGTGGGACTATTGTGAATATGCATCTCCACTGAAGTCCCTTGAATTTACATGGATACTGGGACTGTGCTATCATCTCTTGGCACAGCAAACTAAATTAAGGTGATCCTTCCAGAATAGCATGTGATAGTCTTTGTTAAAGACTAGAGTTCACCAAGAAGCTACAGTACATTCAAGTCTGTAGTTTGGAAGTGTTATTAATTGGCATTACTAAAGGCATCACACAGTACTTTGAATTGCTTATAGCAGCTTTGCTTAAAAAGATGAAAAGCTTTCAAAGAATACGAAGCTCATTGTCAAGTCACTAGGATTACTGACACATTAGGAAGATTATGCTGTGAAGTAATTATTAGTATATTTTCAACTACTGTTTTTTTTTTCTGTTAACCATCTCACCTTCAGGGAAAATTAGACTCATCTTTGAAGATGACTTGGGACTTGTGGATTTTCATATTTCAAACAGAATTTGCATTTTATATATTTCTGAAGCAGATTTGGTTGCAGGGGATGAATTCAAACGAAGATTGGTTCGGTTTAGAAATGTAAGTACTACACAGAGAAAAGGAAGAGTTTTCAGTTGGTATTTGTTTATTCCATGCTTCTGTGTTATTTATAAATTCTAGTGGAACTTAACTTTTGTGATAGTTTACACCTGAAAGCTGAAAAAATAAACAGCTGTTTTAATTGTTGCACTAAACATCAGTACAGTTACTGCAACTTCTATTTTTCCTCTGTTCCAGGCAGCTCATACTCAATAGAAATTTTCTTTCTGTTGTATTGCATCTACTTGTCATTAACAAAGTCTTTCCTCCTTTTTTTGTTTCCATACAGGCCAGTAGTCTTGGGGGAGTTGTAATTGTAGAGAAAACTCAAATAAGTGATCAGTACTTCTTAGCAGTTCAAAAGCTTGTTGTGCTAGAACTTGGAATGGTATTGCTTCCTGTGGGAAATCAAGGAGAAGCTTCTCAACTTATTATTCAGCTAGTAAGTTTTTACATTAGTGGACAAATACGGGGCATGAGAATGACCTGTTTTCTCACACTCATCACCCTTTTCAGAAAGAATACCTGGATCTTAAAGGAACACAATGTATTTTGTTGCTTAAATGTAAGGAATAAATGCAACAGTAATAGTTCAGTGGAAAGAGGGCTTATTTGGGAACAAAGAAAAAGGGGAAGAGTACTGGATTTTTTTTTTATGTGATCGTGCACTGAGGTAGCACCGAATAGCATTAGGCAATCTTCATTTCAGTTCTCTGTCAAAAACAACTTGAAATTTTGCCTTGTCTCATGCTGGGGAAACTGTGTTCTTAGTTATTTCTCTTTTCCTTCATCCATTCCCTGATTGCATCAAAAAGATGACAAATTCATTGTTTTAATTCATGGTTGGTGTTAAGAGACTTGGCTTCCTAGTGAGAGGTTGTGGGTCTGCCTCAAAGCCCATAATAAGGGCACACACTTAAGGAGGGAGCTTGTTAAAACTTCCCGGTGATTGCATTGAACTCAGTTAAGATGAAAGGAACTATTTTAAACCACAAAAGCAGCGCCCCAGCAGAGGGCACGTAGTGTCGCTTACGAGTTTGTTTTGCTTCAGGTCCGTGACCAAAGTAAGGATCACAGCAGTAACCCCTTTCTCCATAAACAACGTTCTCGGCTGGCAGAGCCATCGGTGTTTCGGATGGTGCAACAAATTCCAGGAGTTGGGAAAACAAAAGCTCTGCTTTTACTGCAACAGTTTGGAAGCATCCACCGGCTTTGCAATGCATCCGTCGAAGAGCTTGAGCTACTAGTTGGACAAACAGCAGCACAACAAATCTACACTTTTTTATGTTCTTGACGGGCACATGTAGTGCTGTTTTGGAAAACAGACTTTTTGTTTGTTTCTTAGAATTATAAAATTTTGTTTTCAGTAATAGCTTATTATGGCTATTTCTATAATCCTGGTAACAGTTGGAAGGTGTTGACTGATTATCTAGGTATTCTGCTGCTGCTTTACAGCTGTTCTACCCATGTGGATTAAGCTGTGAAAATTGCTTTGGGAAGAGGTCTGTAAAGTATTTTACATCTGTCTTGTACAAAAACAAGAGAGAAAGCAGTCTTTTTCAGCATCCATGGAAAAATATGGAGAAGCAATTTGCTTGCCTGCTTTCATCTTCCAGAAGTAAACACCTTGTTATAATACTGGGAGGTGTGATCTTCTCAGTAGAGATGTGAGTTACGGTGCTTTAAATAGGTAGCATCTATTGCTTTATAGTAATATATTTTAGAACATTTTGGAATTCCTTTGGGAAGTCCTACAGGAATAAATCTTTGACTTTATACTAACTTATTTCTCTGGTTCCTTTTTCAGTTCACAGGGTGTTATCAAATTTAATTCCATGTGCCTAATATATAATCTTGGTTAATTAATGTTTTCTTTTGAATATAGGTTGCAATAATAAATTTCAGTATATTTTTAAATATTATCAAGCATAATGTTTTAATTATAAATTATAATATGCTCTACGACCAAAATAGTATGCAAAATTTTTATCAAAATTCATAATTTGCCTTATTCTTCCAGTATTCATATTTTCAAAAGTTATTTGTAAAGAGGATGATTGGTTTTCCTGACATCCTGCATTTGATTTTAAATTATATTCTTATCCTATTTAATAAGGGTAAAATTGCCTTTTCCCTTGGGTGTCCATTAAGGAGGTGTATAAAAAGCTTCTTTCAGTCTGCATGGTTTTGTATCACAGCAAGAAGGCAGTTGAGCAGGATTTTCAACTCCCTTTTGAAACTAAAGATAAGTGAATAATAGAACCTTGGCACCTTTGTGACCCAATCTCACCCGCTGGTTTGCAGATAAACCTGTGTTATGGTTTAAGCGGCTTGGTAATTTAGCACCGCCCAGCTGTTCACTCACTCCCCTCTTCTCCCTTCTGGGTGGAATGGGGAGGAGAATCGAAATAATGTAAACCCTATGAGTTGAGATAAGAACAGTCCAGTAACTAAGGTATAACACAAAACCACTACTGCTACCACCAATAATAATGATAAGGGAAATAACAACAGAAGAGAATATAAAACTAAAAGCAGAAACGAGAAAAAAAAAATAAACACAAGTGATGCACAATACAACCGCTCACCACCTGCCAATCCATACCCAGCCTGACCCGAGCAATGTTCTGGGCCTTCTGTGTGACTCCCCCCAGTTTCTGTACTGGACATGATGTGCTGTAGTATGGCATACCCCTTTGGCTAGTTTGGGTCAGGTGTCCTGTCTCTGCTTCCTCCCGGCTTCTTGTGCCCCTCCTCCCTGGCAGAGCCTGACACTGATCAAGGACTTTCCAGAGTAAGCGTTACATGGCAACAACTAAATCACTGATGTGTCATCAGCACTGTTCCCAGACTAAAGCCAAAAACCAGCACTGTACCAGCTACTAGGAAGGAGAAAAACAACTGCTACAGCTGAACACAGGACAGCTGTTACTTATATTGATTCTGTAGTTGGGATGAAAGTACACTTACTTATAATTTGGGCATAAATATTTAACTTACAGAATAATAACCACCAGAATTTTCCAGAACAAGATAATACTTTATAATAATTACTATTAATGGACTTATAAACTGAGCTAATAAGTAACTGCAAACCTAGCCTTGTACATCTTTGTGGATAGAAACAAATATTCTTGTGAGCTGAGCAAGAAGGTAACTTGCTATGAAATTAGTATTTGCCTTAAGTTAGCTGTTGGCTACCACTTGGTGTAGAGTGAGTCTTTACGTAGCTGACAGAAAATACCAAGTATTTATTTAAGAAGTCCAAATTTTTACTTGGGCTGTTGGAGGGGGTTGGGGATGCACTTAAGTAAAAGACAACCCCCAACTTTTCCACAAGGACTAGCAAGTGTGGTGATGGGAATGGAAAGGCAGTTAATCATGCAGCTAAGAGGAAAGAGCAGCAGGAAGACTATCATGGTGGGCTAAGAAAACAAAGAGCTAGAACTCATGTGACTTTAACAAAATCTTTGGCAGCTCGATAGTAATTTTTATCCATACATACAACGTAAATCTGTATGCAATATTGTATGGCAGGATCTTACATATCAGTACAATTGCTGCTGCTTGTGTGTGTAAAGAAGTGCTACTACAAGTACGTGCAAAGAATTAACTACTAAGGATAGGTGAGTCAAGTAATATACAACTTTTTTTATGTACACTTTAAAGGGAAACTAGAAATATGTTAACATTCCCTAAGGAAGCAAGTTTTAGACTAATTAAGTCCCTGTATTATACAATACAAACTGAAGACAAACAGTTTCTTAGGTTTTTCTAAGCAATATTATAGAAACATGCAAGAGGTACAGCAGCGCCAGAGAGTGAAAGCCTACAAATTATGTGATATTATGGAAGCTGCAGCAGAATCGAAGAGCTACTACAAAGTGGCATAAACTGATTTTTATTATTCTTAAATAAGTCTCATCAACATATTTACACCTATTACATAAGAAACTAAAAATGAATGACGACTTTCAAGTCTACACTCAGATAAAAACTTGCCCTTTATTTTAAGTTTTGAGTATCAAACAGCATATATCTACTCTGTAGATGGCAATGCTAACTAACACTACAGTGTTAGCAATCGTCAATTATTAGCAGTTTCAGCAAACAAAAGAATCTCAGAGAAATGCTCACACAGTTATTTTTTGTCTCCTTCCTTAATATATACAGCCCAAGCTTACTCATATCCATTTGGTTTTTTACTTGGTATGATACTAAATAAATATTCTGCCACTCAGACTCAAGCACTCTTTTTATCCCCACAGTTTATGTACTGTTGATCAACATACTAGAATATGTCAACTTTAAGATTTGTTCCACAGCTATCAATTTTATCAAGACTAGTGAGATCCAAGTCTTACAGTAAGTTAGTTTCATCATTTCAAGTTTGGAATAAAACCTGTTTTTAACAATCAGGCATTTAAAATGTAACCTGGATCAGAACAAGAGCAGAGTAGAAGCCTTTTATAATAAAGTTCAAAAGATCTTCTGACTTCTAAGACTTCTGATTCTCTTCCAGAATCAAATTAACTGTTCAGTACACCTAGTACTCACAGCAAGCGTTTCTGTGTAAAACCCATAATTACACGACACTGCCTCTTGGCACAAGGCTGGTTTCTCTGAATAACATTATTGTCTCTTGCCTGTGGTTTGTTAAAATAATTCTTAGTGTTAAGTGATTAACTCTAAACTTTTACAGAAAAATCATCCTTAATGTTTGTTTTGCATGCAGCATCAGTTATAAAAAAAAAAAAAAAAAATCAGTCATGATACTGTATTTTGAAATTCCAAAGGAATCCAGTCCTCACCTAAGCAATTTCATCATCGACATCTTCTTATTGCGTATCTCCCAAACCACTTCATTCTAACCTTCAGTATGTAAGTTTTACAGTTTTTGCCAGCCCCTGACCTTCACAATGGCTCAATGCACAGTAAATTGTCAGTGGCATTTGTCTGAATTTATACATGTGTATATATAGAAATAAAATTGATCAACACTTTTATATACATTCAAAAGAAACACATCATGTTAAAAGATCCTTCTGAAAGATTCAATACAATGAGCTTTCTGTATTCAGAATTGTGAAGGGAGAAAGCTGCTTCTTAACCTGAGAGCTTCCAGCCACAGCTGAAGGCAGGCAGAGGGTGCTTGCAGCTTTCTGTCTATTTTTAGTTCCCCAACTTAGAAAAGGCAGTTTCAGTGGGGCTTTCTTCGTCTGATCAATCTTATCCTCTTCCATGGCTAAACAGATTAGGGAGTATGTCTTCTGCATTCCCACTGAGTAAGTTGCACTCTTACTATGCTGTAGGAAAGAAAGAAGAATTACAACAATCAGTCAGTCAAAATGGGTCAAAATTTTGAAGATAACAAAAGCTTACTGTGCAAACAGTTTTCCAAGGCAGAGCACAGCAAGCTTTCTGCGCTAATGACATACTAACAGAGCACAAGGCCCTTCAGAGTGCTGCTGTTGTGGTATTTTGCCCATATAGACTGAAGGGTATACTGCACACAGTGTAACAGACTTGAGTTATAGTTAGCATTTGCTGGCTTCTAGCACAACTGTATAATATAAAACCTCCCTACAAAGCTTAGGTATGTAGTTCTTGCACAAATCTTTGAAGGGAAGTCTTTTTTGCTGTTTTTGGACAGGTTCCATGTTGACTGCAACTATGACAACAAGAGCACATAGGGCATCCTTTAGGGATACCTGAAAGGCACAGCCTACTCTGTCCTATCTGAGCTCTGCCCTGAAGCAATTTGATTATATTGTAGTCTCTTATTTCCAGTAGCAGCTTAGAAGGGCAGGGGTACAATTCCTTATTTTCAATAAGAAAAATCAACTTCTTAAACCAAGAAAACCTAACAGCAGTAAGAGTACCGTGATCACTTCTACTAAGGCAATGCTACTTCAGTGCTTAAGCTTGCCAGGGAATGTTAGAAACAGTGGATTTAGCTGAACTACAGGTTCTCTCACACTACAAACAAGTTACTTAGAGCTTAACATTTTTTAATCTTGTGATCATTTTTCCTTAGTCTAAAGCTTCTACAGCAGCTTAGTAACTGAGTAGACAGTTAAAGTCCACCAAAATAAAAAATACATATACTAATTCATGATGTAACACAGAAGTCATGATAATAATTTATGTTACCAGTGCACAGAAAAGAATCATGTGATCTTGGATGTTCTATTTCATGCCATTATTATTCCACTGTGGCTTTTCCAGTGCTGAACATGGCAATATTTTCATCCTCTATGCCAAGTTAGAGGAAAATAAACTATGCCCTGGAATTTATAATGCAATTCATTTAAGTAGCTCCACTACATAGAAACCCACCCCTCAGCCATTCTTGTGCACCCATCTCTACTTCAGCTCGCCAAGTCAGAATGATTTAAACAGGCTGTTTAAAACTGAACACATGCATGAATGCTTTATAAGTTCACTGATGGAGTGGGATATCTGACTACATGAAAGTAAGCATTAAGCAGGGACTGAAGCCAGGAAAGTGAAAAACACTCTCACACATCCAATCTGCAAAACACTTTTGCCTCATTACATACCAGAGATGCCGTTGTATCCTGGCAGCTGATAACCTCAAACTTGATGGGCTGCTCTCCCACACTTCTGAATTTTTCCAGCACCTCATTCACTCCGAGCCACTTGCAATCCACGCCACCAACTGAAACTATGTAGTCGCCTTCTTTTAGGCCCATTAACTGTCAAAAAAAAATATGCACAGGTTATTATCTGGAATTACAAAGAAGGGTAAAATATTTTTGTCATCAAATGCTATCTACCCTAAAGGCATTTTCCTCTTAGATGCTATAAAACCATTGTCTAGCCAGACATGTGGGACAGAAGTGTACATATAACATGAAAATACAGAGCTTTTTTGAGTACATAGATTACCTATGTGAGTTACCACTGATAAATGTGATTCTGACATACTCAAATGTTGGCTCTTTTTATGTCCTTTTCACCTTTCTCCTTAAGTAAACAAAACATGTTTTTAGCTACCCTATCATCCCCCATGAGATATTTTCTTCAGTTTTTACTTCTCTTTCTTCAGTATTTTTATTTGTACTTTTGTGGTTGCTGCAGCCTTTCCTATAGCGGAGCTGTGCTCGTTACTGCATAGTGCTTTAGCCCTTTGTTTCTCCCCCAGAGAAGAGCAACATATTAGAATCCAATAATATGTCTTTCCTCTCTTGGGCACATGCTACCTTGCATTGCCTTCCCAATTCTCATCCTTACTGTTGTTGCCGTTTCCTAAGGCCCTTTTAACTTCCTGAATTACATGGGCAATAACATTTGCTTTTATTATTTGTAACTTTTTATCTATCAGGTGTGAACAGAGGAATAAATTGACTCTAGTTTAAGGTGATGCCAGTGATTCAGATACCATAAGGTGTACACAGCACTGAAAATGTGCTCAGATTATATGAATTGACTATACTGATGTATGGTAGAACTCAATAAAAGCTCCGTACACCTGTATGAACAAGTTAAAGTTACATTTAAAAGATTGTGATGCTAGATTCTGGAGACATCATTAATATTGCACTAATGTAGTTACCGCTGCAGAACACGCTGGATCAAGACAACAGATTTGTGCTGGTGAGCCTCCTTTAAGACTGAATCCTAGCCCTCCTGCTTCATGGTGGATATGAATGGTACGTGGAGCTGTCCATCTCTGCTTGGCTGAGAACACTGTCAGTGGGCCCTGGAGGTAACAGCAGTAGGCACGTTATGGTTTACTGTCATTCATAAGTAAGCATTTCTAATTTTAAGTTACAATGCTTTAAACTCATCTTCTGTAGATTTTACTCAGGTTAACTTTCAACTACTTCAGTTGAAATAGAACACTGAGATTTATCCCAGAATTTTAAGGTGTCCCTGAAGTTCTCTGCCCTACTTCGTGACAGTTCAGGCGATAATTCAGAGTTGGATGACAGCAACTGCCAAGTTGTTCTGGGATGATTGATAAGGTGTGCAGAATCTTCTGCTGCAGCAGGCTCTAAGGTCCTGTATTACTCAGTTTTGGAGGAGGATAACTGATTCATGAAACATTGCAAATTCTGATCCTAACCACAACTCCCAATTCCCTTTGCCTGCTGATACACAGAGCCACCCAAAAGACTGGCTTTGTAGCATGCAACATTTCACACTCGGCATGCTCATCTCCAAGTGCAACATGTTTGTCCCTGCCTATAAGTTGTATGCAATTATCCACTGAAACTTCATGAGACTTTTATGAAGGTTATCAAGAATGAATACCGTGTGAAGCCTCATACAAACAGCACTTTGCTAGTCTCACGCTCTCTCTTACATCTGAAGCGAGGTATGATCTTTCCAATAATGTCTGAGGAAAAACACAGTTACTACAGGATCATTTTTGAGACTAAAATACTTGTGTCTCTCCCCTCATACTGGAATGAACTTGTACTTGCTAACAAAATGACAGAGGTTGGTCAGCATTAGCATGTTACATACCAGCCTGTGAAAGAAGTCTTTAACTTTGACCTTCGATAACTGGGGAGCAATTGTTTCTATTTTATGCTCTGTTTTAGCTGAAACAAAAAGAAAGCCAAATTAATTTTCTCTCAATTATTAGTTAGAAGACATAATTTTTTTTTTTTTCTTGCATTCCAAGCTACATAAAAATTTCTCCTAAATTCTTACTGGCCTGTAGAAAAAATATATTTTTGTGAAAATTTGTAAGACATATCTGAATTACTTTACAAATATCTTCAGAGCTCATACTATCAATACAGAAAACTTAACACAATCCACCCAGACAAAACTATTTGCTATGAAGATGCTGTGTCCATCTTCAATATTTCTCAGGAAAGGAAATTAAAAACCAATGCTCATTCTTTCCCCATGCTTCCAAAGAGGAAAGAGTTGGATGAACTGGACTAAGGTAGGAAGAACCAATAGCAGTCAAACTGAGTTAACACTTTAGGCCAATATAAGAGTTGTGCTTCAGGAAACGGTAATTTCTCCCATCACATGATTTTAGTTTCCTCATTTTTTTCTAGCTCACAAGATGCTTATTCCATGTACATACATATGTATAAAATAAAGGTATGGCCCCATGAAAGCACATACATGTATGGCTAGATACCCTTTAGTTCTAGGTGTGTACACTTACGGAGGATATCTGGAGCCTGGATTAGACTGAGAAAGTCATCTTCTGTCTCTTGCTGAGCATATTTGAGAAGTGAGCGCTTGTGTGCAGCTGTCAGAACCTCCTGAAGAACATCAATGTTTCGAAGCTTTTTGCACAGACCGCAGACTCTCAGAGCTTCTTCGTGGTAAATGATGGCTTTGCGCAAGTGTGCTTTCCCTGAAAAAGCATTAGAAACTGTTGGTTGTCATCCACAGGCAATAATTAGAAGGTAATTTTCAAACTGTATCCAGTAGCTGTGTGAAACTGGCAGTTACCCAGTTGTTTTCTCTGAACTTTGTCCTTTAAAACGGTGAGAACCAACAGTCCATCAGGCATGTAGTCATACATCTCAGACAAGGCTTTCTCCTGCTGATCTTCGTCATCACCAGGCTGCACTATAATAATTGAAACAGAACGTCAGCCGTCACACATCTCCTGGTGCTCTGTTCCTTTAGGTGTTTTGTTGTGTACTTACTACTACCTTCTCTCCAAATGCAGTCAAATATTGTTACACATAGATATTGATAGGAATTTACAGGTTTTAGGACTTTCATCATTTTTATCATCTGCAATATGCAAGCAATACTTATATGCCAGAGTACATCAATAAAAATTGAACAATTTGGTAGCATATAATGATTATAATTTATGCTATTTTGCAAAAGTTACATAAATTAACTTTCACATTATTCTGTACAGAACAAAAAAAGAAAGGCCTCATATCTGAATGGGAAAATGGCTACAAATTAACATATATTGAAATCCAAAAGTTCCTGGCTCCTAGTCTTACTCAGACCAAATTATATGTGTTTATTACTGTTATTTATATTAATATATAGAAAATGTATTATTCTTACATTCATGGTCACACAGAATGGTGGCAATGAAGTAATGTGCCAGAGCTTTGTAGTGGTCCGACTTTATCTGTGCCAGCTTAGACCAGGAATAGGGGATATTTTCTTTCACTGGCTCCTGATTCATTGCAGTGTTAACCAGCATGTAAACCTCTCCCACCTAAAATAAAGCACAGCATTGAAGTATGAGAATAACAGTAATTATTAGGAGCTCAACTAAGGGACAGTATATGCAACCTTGTGATAATTTCATGTGCATCACACCAAAGGTAGGGAAACAAACAAAAAGACGATTGTTACAAAATACCAGAAATAAGTTTTGAGAAAATTGAAATTCCATCTCTGATTTTTCCCTTACAAGAAAAGTAAATCAATTTTGTAGAAGAACAGATGGACTAAGTCAATCTATGTGACTTCAGAGTTCAGCAAAAACATGACAAAATACATGGGTTTTAATTTACAAATGCATCTTATTGGCTTAATTCAGCTGAGAAAAAGGATGAAACACATTACTTAAACAATAGGTTTGTACTTCGCTTCTGAAACTGTGGAGTCCGATCTAGCCTTAAGTTTGTGTGGTCTAGTTAAAACGGGGCTACTATCTTTTATGGAGAGGAAAGAAAATAGCTTTGCAAGCAGTGAATGCTGCTTTAATGGATCAAACAACTCCAACTGACAGAATCAAAAAGTCTTTCCCCTGCAGCTAATCAGCCCTACAGATAAGTGAGGGTAGCTTTACAGAGTTGATAGGGAAAGCTTTACCCATTTATCTGGTATGGAACCAATTATACATCTCCTTCTCTGAAGTGGCTCAGAGAGCATATTCATGTCTTGTTGGCATACCCAGTTTTTGATGTCAACAAGCTCATGTCAACATATACTGTGTACAGCTTGCCTCCCCAGTTTTCAGGCAAGTCCTTCCGCTACCAACCTGACTCAGCTTATCGGGGTCTTTCCCCCAGTTACAAATTCATTACTCTTTTGGACTTGCACTTTTTAGGTTTGCATAACCTCCAGCTGCTGGGAAAGACAACAGGTTGTGTTCACTACTTAACAGAGAACTACAGAAACAACACTGTCGCTTTGTATGTTGTTCTGTGGACAAGATCTGCACTGTTTGAAAGAGCAATATGATAAATAGCTTGTAAAAAACATTCAGAAAGTTCGCTGCCCAACTATTTCAGCATGTTTCTGTTAAACTTCATGAATTATGGCTTTTAAAAATCATAACAGTTCTAAATTAATTATATTTAAATTGCAGCTATCTGCATTTTAATCATCTGAAAGGTTGTGATTCTCATTTTAGCTTGTCCATTGTTACACTCGTGTTTTTCCAGTGGTTGTTAATGTTTATATTTAAGAAACTCTGCTTATATTACTAGAGGCTGTAGCTATTACCACAGCACTGTAAACTCTCATTTTAAAATATGAGACTCAAATTTTAGCCTTTACCTTGGCAACTTCCTGTGTCATTTTCACTAGTGTGAAAAACTCGTTGCGTATTCCAGGGAGACCAATTTGCTCAAAAACACACTCTTGAGCTTGTGCAAGCATCATTTTTACTAATACGTTCAACATAGCTGGGCTCATATCATAGCTTGGGGTGTGAGTAAAGGTCTCCTTCAAGTAGCTCAGGACTCCTGAAATTACAAAATGGGGTTTTCAGCATTACAAAGAGAGAAACTTATGAATTCGATTCTAGCATGTACCATAATAATTAGGATTGAAAGCATACTTTCTAGTATTGCCCTACAGCAATCTGAACAGATTCTTAGTACACATGGAACTAGACCGAGTTACAGATTTTGCTTTGCATTCCCATAAAACATCTCCAGGCACAGTTCTCAAAACTACAGTTCAGATGAGCAACAGAAGCTGCAAGTTTTAAGGTCAATACCCTTGGGTTTGCTTCTATCAGTTCTTGTGAACTGAAATAAAAGCTGTGCTGAACTGAATATGACTTGTATGCATGAGTGGTAGGCTAGGGTTTATACATAGGACAATAGGAAAAAAGAAATCTAAAACAGTTACAACGAGGTGACAGTAGAACCCTTGGATGGAAGGAAAACACACAAACATATAAACTTCATTAATTTCAAATCTCCTTTTCAGCTGCTGCTAAGTATATTTTGTGTCCTAGTGAAAGCTCAGTTCCATCCCTATAAGTAAACTAGAATAGTATATTTAACAGGGTAAAATCAGATTCTGCTGTAGACATTTGGCTCCACCAACACATGAATCATTTCTATCATTTCTCAAATTAAAAAGCAAACACTAACTGCAGTGCAAATATTAAGTAGCAGTTTCATGGATGGAAGTGTGACCTTCAGTATGCATGTCATCCAACTGGTTTAGTGAGTTCCACTAGCCTTCTAATTGCTGATAATACTACAAAAGTGTAACAATAAGACCTCTGCTTTTTAAGTGTTCCAGCATCCGTATTCTTACTTCTTGCTGCTACATTCAGTTCTGGTCACATTGTGCTGTATTTTCCTACTGCCACTTTCTGAGATTTTTCATTTTGTTGCACTTGTATCTTATATCTTATGATTATGCCCTTATACAGTTTTAAATTCAGCAATGTCTGCCTTTTTGCACCAGAATCCCCAACTCCAGACTTGCCAAGCACATCCCACATACTGAAGGAATGCCCTACTGAAAGGGGCCGAAAATACAAGTGAGGAAATATTTTTTGTTGTTGTTTTTAACATATTTCTGCTTATGCAATAAACATATACACACTGAGAACTTTGCCGAGGATAAACTGTGCAACATTTTCCATTTAACACAGAGAAATGGTTAATACATGCTCTGTATGATGTCTCTACCAACATAATGAAGAGTGTTACGGAGCCATGCACAGGTACAATGAAATGCCTTCTTAGCACATAGCTTTGGGGCCCTGCAAAGGTTATGTGGCAGCAAAAAATGCATTTCAATTTGGAATTAATTCTGTTCGGCAAATATGTCCAAGTGAAAAGCTGTGGGTTTGTTTTTTTTTCTCTTAATTATTTGCAAAATGGAGACATTTCTGAAGTACTGAAATTTGTTTTAGATGAAATACAAAGGTTGAAAAACTGATTAATAAATGCATGAAGATATACTATTATTTTTTTTGATAGCTGTGTATTCATAAGAGGGGTTTCAGGAGACTCCAGCTCTCTGGTCCACAGTTCATACCTGACAAAGTTATATACAGTGCAAACCAGTAGCCACAGATTGTTAGTGAAGAAATAAGTCTTACAGTACGTGTTAATTACATAGGGCATGTTTTCAAGCATTACATGTAGCACAGATGACATTTACAAAAAAAAAATAAATCTATTTGGGAAAAAAAACAAAACAAAACAAAAGCCTCTGTAGTATGTTAGCTCAAGAGACATGATTCCCTTTCAATGAACTGCAAATTTCACACCAGAGAACACAGTAAGATTAATTTTGAAAAGACCATGTGGAAAACTACGTTTAAAACCCTTTATCAACCCTTTAACATTGTTTCTTATACAGATTTTACACCTATGTAGTATCACTGAGGCAAAAGCAATTACGTTGGTGAAACAAAAAATGAACAATGAAGCAGTTACTGTTGGGGTTATAACTTGGACCTCTGAACTGCAGTTCATAAATAATACTGTGGTTAATGATTAATCTGCATGCTCAGACTACAGTTCCAGGCTTTTATTTAATTCTTCATCTCAGCTGTTAATGAGGCTTGAATTTCCCTGTTCTTTTTTTGTGTACTAAAGTCAGATGAGGAACATCAGTGTAAAGACCTTCCCAATATTTTAAACTTTGTACCTGCAGCTCTCTGAAAAGCATCCACAGCGTTTTCAAGTCCAGCCTGGGTTTGACGATTGCATCTTGTTCCAATCTGGGTATAGAGGGCTCCAATGTTGAACAAAATGCTAGCTTTTTCAAGTAACAGGTTTGGCTGACACACTGGGACACCTGTGAAGGAATCGTACCTTGGGAAACAAATATTACAAGTGTTAAGATTAGCAGAGTCCATCAAAAGATATTTTCATACAGTTTTTCCAAAAAAAGCAGCGGAATTCTTGATTATTTTTTGCTTGTGTGGAAAAGGTGAACAGAAATATCATAGCGTAGGACAATCTAGATGCTGCAAGTCAGAGACCAGCTTTATTGCAGGCTTAGTTTTCAGCAAGTTTTACAGCAGTGCCTCCATAAGCATATTATATCCAACTCAAAAGTGTCTGTAAGACATCACAGAGGCTGAAAGTATACTGGGGAAGCTGCTGTGTATGCTGCTATGTTCTCGTACTTAGATGTTGCCAAAGATCAACTATTGGCATAGGCAGATATTCTATAGTTCTAAAATTCCTATGTGCAGTTCTGACTAAAAATGTAATGGTTCCTCTTGGCTGCATCATAAAATGATTTTTTTTCATCATAAAAACGCTGAATTCAGACTCAAACTTTGCTCACAGATGTAGTACAAACTGCTATAACAAATTAAGCTGCCCCTCCTCATTTGCAGGACAGGAATTAAAGTCTGACCCATTCCCCATCTGCATCATGCAACAAGGTTCAGAGTTCAGGAAACATCTACTATTGATCAAAAATGAAGATTATTTTCTCGCTTTTTCTCTTGTGCTAACCTGTAGCCCAAGTCATTTGCCATAGACAACGGCTTCACTCCAAGTGGGATAAAGGTGTACTGTATTCAAGTTTATTCTTAACACTAAAAGAAAAAGCTGACAACACACACTGCAGGGAGTAGTGGGGGAAACACACTGACTTGATTCAAATTAAACAGAAGACAGTTACTGATTAACTGTGTTTTGAAAAAGAAGAGACAAGACAAACATGAACTACACTTACCATGTAAATAAAACTCCCATGTGCCTGGTGGGTGGGAAAAATCTGTTTTCTACATAACCAAGTTGAAGGAAATAACTTATCAGCATCTCAATGCCAGCTTCATCTCGGCTAGGAGTGCGGCAGGCCTTGAATTACAAGAGATTTAAATGAAGCGTTTTCTGTTGAGTATGAGTACAGAAACACCCAGGATAAGACTCTGTGGACTTCCGCATAACATAAAAATGTTTGGAATCTGAGAACAGTAAGCTTAAGGCCATATGGATGCATTCCAAATAAGAGTTTTTCAGCTGCACAAAAGTAGCACGTAACCTTTAAGGAAGCTAAGAGGATCTGTTAATTAAATAAAATCGTAGGTATTTTATGAAAGCTACAAAGAAAGTTTCTAGTATAATACAGAAAACACCACCATTCTACTACAGTTTTTGCCAGATGAATTCCCGTCAACATTCTTCCTGCTAAATTTATAGTACTTTAAAGTAAAAAAGTAGGCAAGACAAATCTTAAATTTATAAAGTTGTGTCAACAGCTCAATCACTTTGCATAACTTTACCCTTTTCTTCACTTGTTCTCTACTCGGATTGCAAAGCTCCTGGACAACAGAGATTCATGTTCCATATCTCAGAAACTAAGTCAATACAAATACGATGAGTTAAAAGTAATAGGGACATATTCTGATTCCATATAAATGCTAGTATTTTCAACTGCAGATTAAAAGACCTCATGATATGACAAACTTGAACTTACTTGTCTCAAATCCATGAGATCTGCTATTTCGTCTTCATACTCAGAACTGTCTTCACTATAATGTTCCAAAATAAAGTCCTTAAAAAAAAAAACGGAATATCCAATAATCAATTAAACTACTTTTTCCTGCAATTGCAAAAGGTACAAAATTGATTCAGTTGTTATTTCCATGGTTTCTACTTCCTTCTAGTCAACAGTACAATAACATATAGCAATGAGACTACAAAAAGACAATAGTAGAAATAATTTGATTTTATATCCAAGATGAGAAATTTCAGTAAAGTAGCCAAACACCTGTCACATCAACTTCATTGGGTTTTAAAACACTACCACTTAGTAGTTTTGAAAAAGATAAGTGAGCCCTGTTAGCTAAAATAACAAGAGAATCAAGTGACCATAAAATCTTGTTAAGTGAAAGAGACTGACAAATTCTTGTCAGCTATACTAGGGCAATTCCACTTATATTACCAAAGATGCAATGCCATAAAGTGGTACCATAATCTGACCATGGAGATTAACCCAAAAAAGTAAAAGCAGAAACAAAAGCTATAATGATAAGATAGTTTACCATGAGAAAAATCTACATTGCACAATATGCAGTGGTCCAAAAAAAATACAAAGATGGCTTAAATAGCCAGCAAAGTATATTAGCCAACAAGCAAGGAGCATTAATGGTGCACCACCACTTCTCAAATGAGCTAGCTTGGTTAGCTCAAGTCAAATCTTCATTACTACTTCCTGTTGCACCAAGTACTTATCAATTATCTCATTGGAACCAAAAACTGTAGAAAGAATTTTTGTTCCCTTTGATTTAACTGTCTCCAGAGTAGGATTTCTTATAATATCTTCTGAGTCCTTGCCCTAGTCAGGTATGAGCAATGAGCCAAATAATTGGCGGTTAATTTTTTAAACACATTGTGATCTCAGGTTTAGGGCCAATAAAACAAAAATAATTTGTACAATCTGCTTCTTCAAACAAATCAGAAGTTATTTCTGTTGACTCTTCATTCCCAAATGTGTCTGAAATTTACCTTGAGGGGGAGTGTAAAGTCTACTTCTTTGGTTTCCTTCAGGCCCAGGGGTACCAAGGGAATGCTGAAAGTCTCTCTATGAAAAAAAGATTCAAAAATACTTTGTTTCTGTTTATCTGCCAATAAGATAATTACTTTTATTTGATGACAGGAAGTTTGTATACTGACAGGTGTTCAAGTAAAAGGTACATAGTTTATAACAATTCCTTCAAGGAAAGAGTAAAGAAAGCTTCCTTCCCTCCCCCTGCCATTTAAACCTATTTTTCCTTCAAGGAAAGAAGATGAGACACCCATAGGTTGACTTACTGCAATTCAACTTTTATAAACCTGCACAAGTTCTATAGACAGAAAACAGCTCCACAGCTGCTAGATCTGCTACAGTAAGAGCTATGGTAATTACTTATCATTAGTTATCATTAGTATTTTACATGCTACCAATGCTTTCATATGTAGAAGCTATGGGTGTCAAACACAGGGAAAAGCAGGGCTAAAGTGTACCAACTTTAACAGTGAAATGTCTAAGAGTAGGAAGTCTGAGAACTACTCAGTTTCTAAACAACACCAGGTGTTGATCTATAAACAAGTCAACCACTAAAATATCAAAGGGCAACAAAGGATGAGAACTATGACTTAAAAAAAATTGGATCTTCAAGAGAACATATATCTGTACCATGGATTTAAACCTAGATCATATTAGTAAACAACACTAGCTAATGAGGGATAAATGGTGCTGTTTGATTCATAATAGTCTCAAAAGCTGCATATATTGCTCTTCATTAAGCAGATTAGCCAATAACAAAAAAAAAAAATGAATGAATAAATAAATAAATAAATATCAGAATTGCTGCCAGATAAAAGTTTGTTGAGTTGGTTTAATGAGTCAGTACCAGGCAATAACAAGTTTTATCCAACATTCTTTTTCCTGAAAAAAACTAACTGACCATTTTTGTTTAGAGCATTCCATTACCAACTGCAAAATCCCACGGGTGTGGCTCATTTATGATTTTATCAGCAAAATTACTTTCTTACTGGTGGAAATTCCATCTCAGGAAGGAGGGAATAGGCACGTAGCTTCCTCAGCAGAGGAAGAGTCCTTAAACTGGTTGGCATGATCCAGAAAGTGGCTCTGTTACCCTGAAGAGGACTTCCATGATTCAGAGCCAAAATACCACTGCAGGTAGTGCAAATGATCTGATATCTGATAAGGCTTTTAGAAGAAACACCACCACTTTTACAATAGACTATATCAACACTTCCCCCAAAAGGAAGTGAGACACATGCAAAAGGAATCCTAACTTACTGATTTAATGACTTCTAATACTACCCACATTCCCTGTGGACACCAACACTTGTCATTCAAAGGAACTCTATTTCTATTTTTTTAAGTTTCTACGGGGGCTCTGCAGTTAGGGAGGTGATCCTGGGTTTCCATAAGTGAGTAGAAATGGCGTCATACTTCTCAATCCAGTTGAGATGTGCGCAAGTACTCGGAAGTCCAACCCTTCAGATTGGTGTAACACAATACAGAGTAATCCAGTGCCATGGGCGTGACCTCATGTTCATGACTATATGCACAATAGACTCAGAGAGCAACTATTAATTGCTATTTGCTATTAAAGGCTGGAGAGCATTTATGGAGGGAGTGAATTATTTTAGCTGATGGAACATAAAAAGCATTTAGAGCTTAGAATGTACAGTACCAGAAAAGCAAAACACTGTTCAAAGCTGAGTGGGGAAGTAGGATCAAGAGAGAAAAAGCTAATAATAAGTTACTTATAATAATTAGACAGAATGACTGTCTAACTGCAAGGCTTCTACCTGCCTTGGGGTCTGACCTACTGCTCACCCTTCACTGAGAATTCAAGTGTTTCAAATATTCCTTAGCTAGAAAAAGGAATATCCTTTCTGGAGTCTTGCACGCAGCCATAACTTTCCTACTGCTCTCTACACTTCACACATCTATGAAGCCTGGCAAAATCTTGAATGAGAAAAAAGAAATAAACAACAACAAAAAAAAACACCAAAACATTTTCGTATCAAATAATTGTCAAAGTTTGTCATGGGGGTGGAGACTTCCATGGGGAACTTCGGCACATTTTCAGAAAAATTAAATTATATGGTATATCAGGTCATTATTCAGCTGAAAGACACACCACTGGAAATGTGCTTGGTCACTATACATTAAGAACTTTTTATAGTCCACCTAGAAGTTAGACCTGAGAACAGTGCTAAGAGGGACTCCAAATTATACCGTACATATATATATATCATATGAAGCGCTTCAATTTATGATTTCAGCTGCCAGTGTTAATCAAATATTTAGTTTTTGAAGCAACAAGGTATCTACCAGATAGAGAAATCACTGCGGTATTCAGACAATAAATAATCTTTGACTTTTGAAGCTTTTTGTTTGAGGAATCTATTACAATTTGAAGTTCAGTGTGCTCTTTATAGTTGTAAAAACATCTTAGAAGAAGTCCAGCTTCACCTGCTAAAAATTCATCTGCTAATTTACGGATTTCTATTACTGAATTGCACACCTTAAATATTATTTCAAGTCTGCTTTGAACTCCAACTCAGTGTTCTCCGGCTAAAGAGAGGACTGCTCCACTCACTGCATTTGAGAACAGATGTTAGATCACGAGGTTTGTTCACTCCAGAATGTACTGAACCAGTTCTAGTACTGGAAATTCTGCTAGGGACCATGTGTCTCCCCATACAGGCCCAAGAGCTTTCAGTTCTTGCAATTCTCTGCTTCACAAAGGAACTCTATATCTAAGGATTAGTGGTACATACCTTTCCCAAGTGAAAGACAAATATGCAGACTAACCCTTAGTCAACAAATCTGCCATCAAATGTTCTCTTCATATCAAGCTCTCTGCTCTTTCACACAATTGTTTTCCAGCATTCACATTCACCTAGAAACAGTTTTGTTTCCAAGGGTAAACAGAAGATCTGTTAATAATTGAGTAACTTAGCTGTATACTTACTCTGAGTTTTGATAAACTTCTACTGAGATGTTAAGTCCTTCCAATTCCTCCTTTAAGATCTGCAGGTCTGAGTTTACAAAACTCAGTTCCAGTAGTACCTGCTCTCTTACTTTGTTATTGGTGGTTGCTCTGCAGAAAGAAAGGAACATAATTCATTTTTTTTTGCTGAGGAAAAGGTTTTATGCTTAAGCTCAGTTGAGCCCCTTCCTGGCATTCTCAGCATTTTTAAGATTATTTCTTTTTATCTCCTTAAGAGATGTTGTAAGACCAAGAACTTCAGAATTTATTAGGTTTTTATATCAAGAGAAAGCATAGGACATTTTACAGATAACAGCACACAGATACATAAAAGGCTTGCTACGTGCAAAAGGGTTTTTAGTGTGATTAGGGTGTCAGGCTCATTTTCAGATACATTAATACTAAAGCATCTTAAACAGAATCACTATCCTATTTTTCGGATTATGTGACATTTTCATAGAAGAAGATACGAGGGTGGAGGTAGGGGGGAGTCAGGAGATATTTTTACAAAAGGTACTTCCCCACTTTGTAAACTGAATTATGAATAGAATTATAAATTGAAGCAGTTGAGACTTCTCATCATATGAATACAAGAAAACAACTTTCTCACAAAACTATTACTGCAGAATGCTTTAGAACCAAAAATACAGGTAGAAAGATATTTCTTTTTAATGCAATACAAACTACTCTGTAGTTTTATTTTGTCAGATTCAAATAGGATTTTTCTTTTTTTCTTTTTTTTTTGTTTCCTTTGCCATTTATACATTTACATGACAACATTTTGAACTGTTAGCACATTGGTTATTGGTATTTAGCAATCCAGAGCACTTGTGTGATTTCTTACTTGTGTATTTCAGGATGTTATCTCACTATTTCTAGCATGATTCTCCATACAGTATTACTGCTTTCTAGAGTATTAAACTTATCTATAACCACAGGTATGATTTTAAGACAAAAGGTCTTGATCCATACCCAGGCTTAAGATATTGTACCCCCATATTAGACAGTACAAAGCATTAGGCAGTCACAAACTTAAAATAAGCTTGCAGCATTTTGCATTTACCTTTAAGACAAAATTGACATTCATAAATATTTATAAACAACCCTCTTATACATCCAGCCTCCACTGGAACAATTCTCCAATTTTACAGAACACCTTGGTGAAGAACTAGTTATTCCAAGGCTAAAATTGTAAACTTGTACTTCATATTATAAATCTGTGTAATATGTCAACTTTCTGCGCTGTACTATATCGAGTACCTGAGATTGCTTTAACTAAGCAATGTTAACATCTGCTGTCTGTATAAGCCAAACTGGACACAAATACACAGTGGACTGAAGCTAAAGGCACCACCATAGAGGTAGATGGGCAATCTCAGTATTTTAATTATGGTGCTAAGGCCTCATGTTTGGCGTAGCTTACCATCCTCCACAGGATGGGGATGGGTTCTAATTTTTTTTTCAGAAACCCCAGCATTCCACCCAGATGAACTTCTCTAATATGGCTAAATTGCTCTCGACATCCATGCCAATTTAGAGTTTATTTAATTACCTTTCCATGTTTGTTTGTTTTGTTGGTTTTTTTTTTTTTGCACTGCAGACATACTTTGTAAGGACAAACAGCAAAAGACAGTAACAGGAGCAATGTGATATCCTCAAGATCCAAGTCTACTATGAATTCACTTTTAACTCAGAAATTCCAGACAAAAGACAATGAAAAGGAGAGGGTGACTTTCAGAAGTTCTAACAACAAAAGTATTTGTGCTAGATGGATCACTTGTTTCAAGCCTAGTGTTTACTTTCAGCCAAAAGTAAAGAAACCTGCATTTCCAGTTTTTCCATAAATCCTACTGCAGGAGGCTCCTTGTGAACAGCAATCGGTTTGCTTCTTTTAGAACTTGAAAAGCAAACAGAATCTGAAAACATAGAGCTTGTTTATTTGGGTTTTTCCTTAGGAGCCTGTAAATACGTCTAGTCATGTAAACTATCTAGTGGTCAGGTTACTTTTAAAATTGCTTCTTTTCAAAGAACTAGTGAGCTTTAACAGTATAAATGAATCTAGATTAATTAATAGCTTAGATCTATCCAGCTTAGAATAAGTCTGATCCTCTGCTCTCCAAACAGGCTCAGTTCCCAGTCTTGCCAATAGCAACTTCAGTATTTCACAGCCAAATTTTAGGACATCTTTAAGCTGAATGTGAGAGTAATCAGTGTTCATATTCGATATTAGTCATCCCTTCAGCCTTTCCAAAACACTCCTGAGTTGACATGCAGAAACATCTACTGAATATACAGTGTTCAATTTCAAAAGCAGATAAGAATTTTGCTAGATAGCAGAAGACCCAAAGTCTTATTCCTTAAGTCAATGACCAGAAAACAAAGCAAAATTAAATCAGAGGCTAAACCTACACAAGCTTTGGACCCATTGCCTCTCTTGCCAAGACTGGAGATAAAGGCAGGTAACAGACAAAGATGACTGGCTATCAATTAATGGCAAGTTTAAGAACAGTGAATTTATCCAAGTATTTTAATTTCTCTAAGGGAAGTATATTGATCAGGTTTTTGTTCTTGGAGACCTGTTGTTGCTCCAGCTGCAGAGAAGTAGACACTATAGATTACTGCAGATAAGTATTGGGGAAATTTTCAGGTTTTCTGTGTAACAGAGAGATAGATTGTTGGAAAGCTTACAGGTCTATTTGCTAAGCAGTTAATCACAGGATAGAGGACAGAGTCAACATAAGGCTATTCCTATGGGGACAGCCACGTAAGAAACTGTATCTTTAAAAAATATATATAAAAACTGGTGTACAAAATATAACAGATGAAGGGCAAAGTCTCTTCCAGTTACCTCAAGCTGCAGGAGAATTCGGTGGCAACTGCAACCCAGCTCAAATAAGACGTGTGCTACCCTGCTACTCCTGTATCACTACTACATGGAATAAATATAGCAACTGATAGTCCTTTCTACCATGGAGCACAAACCTGAAGGATCTTGAAAAAAGCAACAGCATAGCAACAATACCTTTATTTGATTTAAAGTGCAAAAAGGAGTCATTACAATATTCAGGAAGATTCACTTGCCATTAACACTAGCAATAAAGCTGATCAAACAGAGCGACACAAGACATTCTATCCTCAGTTCACTTGCTACAACACAGCAGCTTTGGAAGTGTACTTCATAGCAGGTAATAACTCTGCAGAGTTACATCATTAAAAAAAACCTTCAGGGAGATTTACAAAGCATCCAGCAGTAATTTATGCAGCAGTTAAGCAGAATGGGAAAAAACAATAGCTAAGAGACTTAAATAGTGTTGCTCTGGCAAGAAAACTAGGAAGTCATGACACATACCTTAAAAGGTTTTCAGCACCAGCTCTCATTCTTACTGCTCTTAAAATCTGTTGGTTTAGGACAGCTCTTTGATTTTGCAGTTTGCTTCGTCCAGTCTCAGCAAGAGGATTACATCCCTAGAATTAAGGAAACATTTATTATTTTTTTTGTTGCTGTTGAAAGAGACTGGAAAGGGAGGAAGGCTAAATTTGAAGGAACACAAACGGGTGGGTTCTGTATGGATACAAATTACCTAGATATGAATTAATGAGACTGACATCAGTGATGAATGACTGACAATGTTTCTTTTCTCAAACTCTGTCATTGAAAGCAAAAGACACACCATGACCAAAGTATTTGACATTAAAATCCAGGCAGAAAATATTTGTTTTAAAGCGTATGTACATGTGTGAGCCAGCCTGTTCTCCCCTAAATGTCTTTTGAAGGTATTTATCAATGATAACCACAGAGCAATATTATGTTTCTACGGGTTTCATAGAAACAGTATCTGGCCAGGCAATAACTCCAGTCAAAGTGTCTGCTTAACCTTTGCAAAATATCAGGGTTCCATACTGGGATGTATACAGACTTGAAATACCACTCTATCAAGACCAGGCTTCAGCGGCATCCCTGTTCACAGTCTCAAGTACCCTTCTAAAGATACCTGCTCTTGTTTCTTCTGGTGCTCAGAACTTCAGTAACCCTCCTTCCCTGTGTTCCTCTCTTTACATCTCTGCTTATCTGCACAACTCTTCTTCACACCCAGGAAATGCTCTTGGGTCTTGAAGCCTACCCTGCCGCAACCCAACAGCACCAAAAATGTAAAATATGAACAGGCTTTGTAAGTCATTTCATCTATATGTTCTCAGAGTGCCAGATGGAATGATTCATCTGCCCATTAGTTTTTCTTGTTACCTGTTGTCCAAACAAATATTATATATTGATTGCTCAGTATCAAATAAGATGGGAAACGGAATACTATGAGATGGTGTAAGATAAAACAAGATATGGAATAATGGAGTTTGGCAGGCTAAGATTATGATTACACCTTCAGACACTCATCAGATTAAGCCCTTAAAGTAAAGAATAACTCCCAGAATTCACCGAAATGCTCCTGTGTATTTGCATACCTTACACAAGCACAAGACTCAAACTGGAACCTGTGTTTGAGCAGGTCTGAGCCATTGTATTCTGATGAGCACTCATAAGCTAAAACTGTTATAGATGAATAGGATTGCATATTTGTCATTGAAACATGACCTTCACACCTTTCTTAAATAGAAGTTTCACTTCCACTTTTTTACCTTTTATATATCCCCTCCTCCCCACTTTAAATTCTAAAATAGATTTGAATACACATTTATAGCCAACCAGCACTTCCCTGCAGCCTTAGCTACTGATTCTGAAGTTAATAAGACTCCTCTGTTTTAATGCTTACCCTTAAATAAAGTGCGTCCTTTTGAGTGGCCTGGTTGAGTATCATTACAAAACTTGTCAGGGTCCTACTGGATTGTGCATTACACAATTAGAAGGCTCAGATCTGTCCAAGTCTTCCCTCAAGTACTCCAGCCACTAAATTATGCACTATTTTGGACCTCTCCCTCTTAGCTTTGACTCAAAAAATTTGAGTTTTGCTATAACAGCATTTAGAAGTCTCTCAACGAGCTCTAATTATGAGTGGTCAGGCAATGGCATACCAGCACAACAAAACCAAGTATTTAAATAGAACATGAAGTTATGATAATCTACTCAAAGTTCAGTTCTTATTTGTGTTGGCAAGTGAAAGCAAGTTGACTTGACAACAGAGAAATTATTGGATCAATCCAGATTACATTAGTTCAACTAGAAAGCACATAGCCCAATATTGTTAATTTATATTTCTGGTTTAAAAGTTATAAAGGTAAAATCACAGGTTTGTGCTCAGATATTCAAAAGCACCATTTGCCAGACAACTTGAAAAAGCATACCATGTTGTTACTCTTACTACAGAAGTGTTTCTGGATTGAAAGATCAATTGCAGCAGAAGCTAGAACTTGGGTGCAGATTATATGCTCTTTTTGTTGAGAAAGCACTGGCAGCAGGCACAATTCATAGAAGATGAAGCTCTTACTGGAGAGGACATGCACATGTAGCAAACTCATTCATTCATCTCAGACTAAAAGTAGTCCTTTCACTACCAAATACTTTATGCTCCTTTACACACATACAGAGACACAAGAAAGGCAAATTTAAAGGTACAATGTGGTCTTATATCCACAAGTTGCTTCCTGCTCTGAGCCTGCTTCTTTTTTCAGCCTGCCATTGTTTTTCCTCCTTTGTTTTTAATTCACTTTGTGCTATATAATCTTTCTCTTCTTACTGGTATTCAAAGTCTTCTCTCCTTCCATTCCACCTGTGCCATTTTCTTTTGAACATCAACAATTATCTCCTCTTGATGTTTGCATTCAGCTTGAATACTTGATCCTCACCTTAAGCCTGCCACCTCTATATCCCTGTACAGGTCTTCAATGCTTTCTTCCAACTTCTTTCTTAACCTCTGAATCCTAGCATCCTTTCTAAAATATCTTTGACTTGCCCTGGTCTTCATTTTTCTCTATAAAGCTGCAGCTTCTTTCCAGAACTCCATTTCCTTCCTGTGTGCCAAAAAGTTCCATGACATCATTCAAATACTTCTTTACAGCTCTACTTCTGTGAAACTTGCAGGAAGATGGATTCCTTGATTCCCAAGCCAATGAAGCTCTCAGCAGAAGCAGTGTGTTTATTTCAGTAGACCTTTGATCAAGCTCCAGCCCAGAAATCAAACAAGCTCACAATGAATAATGTGTTAAGGCCATTGCAAGTGTGCAGCGATCTTCAACTCTGCAAAGAGAAAAAGTGGCAGAGATATTTCTTGGCTTTTGGGGCAATCATTGCATGAAGCTTTAATGCAAAGCTTTAACGCAAGGCAGTGACAGACTGAGGTATCCTTGTCCCCTTCAGTGTGCCTGTAAGTGCTGCACTTCTGTCTCCTGAATGAAAGGCTTCTTGTGGATAGTCTCTTTTCAGGACAGGCTCACCTGCTGCAAGCACACACCTCCCTTTTACTTCTCAAGGCCTGTAAGGAACTCAGTCTTTACATGTTGGAAAAATGTTTTTCACATCTCCTGAATGGGGATGGGGACACTCAGCTAATCTCTGTTCATTTGCAGGCCTAAAGTCTTTATTGTAATCAGGCTGCCAGAAAACTGAAGAAGTCCTGCACAGAGGACAGTGAAAACAACCAGTGTTTGCAAAAAGGCATGGGAAATACACAATCTGGGGAAGATTTCCGCTTGTGTAAAGCACAGATTCTGTGTACTAATAAGTTATTTAGCAGACACATTGAACAAAGTGCTTAGTTTTGGTTTCCTCCATGTAGAAGATCCCTTTCCCAAACAACATTTGTTTACATGTGGACAATCCCAAGAACTGTGAGTGTTAATGTTCAGTTCATTACCATATCTGGCAGCCAAACTTCCCAGCTGTTTCCACACCTACTGTTTCATTCTTGTCAACAGGATGCTAGATGCTTCTTTTAATTACTGTTTATTTCTTTGCTGAGCCAAGACTATTTGGGAAGTGAACCTGATTGTACCCTGGCTTATACACTTCCAGTAAAATTATGAATAAAATAGTTAAAAGGGAATAGTTATTACTAAGGAAGTTGGAAAAATTACCAAGAATGGAGTATGATTCAAGATTTCATTGCATGCATTTGGGAATTGTGTGAAAAGTAAATTGAGCAACTTTTCTAGGAAGACCATTCAAATAGTCAACTCAGCTATCAATTTCAGAGCCTTTTTTCCCCCCTCAGAGCACAGCTGCACTTCTTTATGAAGTGTTGAAAGTGCTCAAATATTATTAACCTTAGATCCTGAGCCAAATAAGAGCTTTTTCAAACCTAAGGTTCATTTAGCTAGTCATTTCATTTCTTCCTGCTTGGTTGGAAAACAATGCTGAACTGCAGAATTGGGAAGCTGATTATGTTTGTAATATGTCACTATCAGAGGCAAGTCCCACACAGGAGTTACAGATCTTTGCCATATGTTATTTATATATGTAGTAAGGTAACATCTTGAAACAGATACTCAAGTTAGAACTACATGCTGAACTTAGGTGGCAGGATATCCCACTAGGGTTTATTATTAAGTTTGTAAAAATCATCCCACACACACTTATTTGGCCAACAGTTGTATTATGAGTGCCTGTGGGATCCCAGCGTGATGCTGTCAATGTCAGGCCAGGGACTGCCAGCTTAACAGCAGGAGCTCAAGCAGAGCTAGGAAATGGCTGACTGACTGTTCAGGACTCATGTGGGATTGAGGGGGAATATTTCATTCTACAGCTTACATGAGGACAGAGTTGGTAGCTAAGTAATCCTGCAGCCAGGTAGCCTAGGTTGGCTATGGACAGACAGCATCTTGCTTCTGCAAAAGGCCCCAGTGCTTACCTCTTATCTGAAGAGAAGGAGCCTTCAAATCCTCCCAAGTTTAAGGGGTATAGGCAGTACCTTCCTTTTTTCCCAGATTTAGGCTTTAGGCCTTGAGAAATTGCTGGCCACAGAGGGCAGATAGCTGTCAGAAGTACGGGTCCCAAATAAAGCAACAGTTATATTTAATTCGGATGCCAAGAAGTTCTTTCTTCAAGACAGAAGTGTTTTTTAATATCAGAAATCCAATTGTAAAGGAAACAAAAACCTTGACTGTTTGCCAAACAATGAGTAATCACAGTAAACATTTGAAATTAACATGAGTTACGAAGTAGTGGTTTGAACTCTTACGATGAGCCACACACTGTCTGAAGGTGACACAGAGTTGAAACTGGGTGTGCCTTCTTACTTAAAATAAAGCATTCCTTTCCAGCCAGCACAACCTGTGCTGCCTGTCAAGCACAGCAGTGTACACAAATGGCCATATCCTCCAGGTAGTTAAATGTGTGTGCAACTTCACTTATGCACACAACTTCTTTGGCTGCAATAGCGATCATAGTAAACAACATGATTCACACCAGTATTTCTAGAACTGATCCCAAGCCCTGTTAAATTATTATATTTATTTCCATTTTTGCACTACTATAATTAAAGTTTCTCTTGGCATGTTTCTACCAGTTCAATTTTTAA